TGACTTGTCCTCCCCCGATATTTGTAAAATTCTTGCACCAGTAGCCGCAGCTCTGATTTTAACTGGCGGTATACCAAGTGCCCCGAGGTCAATTTTGGATTTGGCCTCGGCAATAATCGCCTCATAGGTGACACCTTTCTCCTTTGCGTCTGGCTGTATCGTCAATACTACCGCCGCTGTACGAGGAGTGCGGAGTTTCGACTTTGGCTTCTGTTTCGGCACATGCTGAACCGAAACCTTTTTGGGCACTTGAGAATGCGACTGGTTTCGTCGAATATTGTTATTACGACGCGTCACCTCTGTCCACTCTGTGGCAGTCGAATCTGTCGTCATTGTTGTTGTGGTCACATGAGGAGCAGGGACTGCTGGTGGGGCTTGGAAGGGAGTATTCGCAGTATTTTTTCTCCCTTTTCTCCTGCTCTTCGTTTTCCCGCCCCATATTGGGGCTGTAGGACCAGACAAGACATGTCCAATATCTTGTTCTGTATCTTGAGTAGGTACATTGTCTGTACCTGTCTTTTTCCCTTGTTTTGCTGTGATTGCAGCATAACTATCTTTGGCTGAGCGAGTCTTGTCAGAGGCCAACGCTGGACGTAACATCCTCCCTTCAAGAGCTTTCAGCCGGGCATCAACCATGGACATGATGTCCCGAGACACCTCATTTCTGTCAAATACAGGTGGCGGAGTACTAACAGTCTCCTGTTGTGGTACGCCAACACTTTTTCTAATTTCAGCTCGCAGTTCTGCGAGTTCTTTACGCAGTTCCCGAATCTCTTGTTGCTGAGATTCGTTGGCAATCTGAAGCCTTTTGCACTCATCAGTCGCCGTTCGCTTGCTCAGAGCATCCACAGCTTCGCGTATCGCTACCGCTGACTCCTTTAGAGCACGCTGCAGAGTGCCTTTCAGACCTTTCGACACTTTGGCTACTTTTTCCACTACAGCTACATTATCCGCGACAAGTTTGCGCAGATGTAGAGCTGTCTCCTGCTCAGGGTTGAGGGTTTCGATAACCACCACAGGAACCTTCTTTAATCGAGTTTTGGCAGCTGCTTCAAGCGCTGCTTTCTCAGTTTCTTTGCTGAGTTGCTCTGCCTGAGCTTTCTTATACTCAGCCCTCATCTTACCATATCCAATATACTCCCCAGTAGTTGGGGGCCTCCCTCTGCCACGCTTCGGAGTATTAACTTCCTTGGGACGAGGCTGGTTTATGTCAGAACCGCTGTCTGAGCTACTCTCCACATCACTTCGTGGTCTTTTTCGCCTCCAGAATCGAGGGGAGGTTTTGTCAGAGCTTACTGTGAGCATTGTCTGCGCCGAATCTGATTCAGTGAGTACGTCCTTATTTAAGCTCTTAAAGGACAGTGATCGGCTTCGGGTTAGAACTCCACTAGGTCCAGCCTCTACATCATCACCAGGCTGCTCTTCAGTCCTGTCCTCTTCGGACCGCATCATAACTACATCCATTGAGGACATTATCATCTCTCCGTCTTTCTCAGACACATTCATCACTCCGTCCTTCTCGGACTCATTCAACACACCGTCCTTCTCGGACACATTCGTCACACCGTCCTTCTCGGACCTAACGTCGGAATGGTTTTTTGTTTTTAAATTATTTTTCTCCATACTGTTCCCACGAATATGGGGGATATAAAATGTCCACCCGGGCGGTGCCCCCTGCACCCGGGTAACCCTATTACCTCCAGAGGTCGGGCGGTATCTGGAGGTTGGCGCTAGCCGGCTGATGTACTCCACCAGCCACCTATTAAAGGCGCCCTGACACCGCGGTGCCCAATGTCAGGGCTTTGAGGTAATTTTTTATAGTGGTTTTCTTCCACACAGGACCACCCGATTAAGGGCAGTCCCCCCGGTCCCACAGGTGGGATTACGGGTTCGCCGACGGTGGCCGAAGCCTGTCCCTGACCGGTGTTAGCGGACCAGGAACCCGTCGCCTCCACTCGCACCGCCGCTACCCAGATCAGTTCTGGGGCGCCGGTCGAGCCCGAACCGCACCGCCGCTTCACGACTTACTGTCGAGGCGCCGGCCCGGAGCCAATTCTCTCAAGACTCCCTTAGCAGGGAAACATCCCGGTACGTGACCCGAAAGTGGGTCTTACCACCCCCCTATGCTTATGACGACGGCCCTGAAAAGGGCCCACAACAACAACATTCATTGCTCACGTTAACCATAAGTCAACGAGCCCACTGTCCTCCTCGCTGGCACGGCCACTTCCCGCGATGCGCAGGGCGCCCGTCCAGCCCGAACCGGGCCGCCGCATCACGACTTACCGTCGAGGCGCCGACCCGGAGCCCTCATTCGCGCGTATTCGCGCGTTGACGGAGTATTGTACTCCGTCACCTTCGCTATTCTGACTTTAGCCGCGGCGGCTCGAAGATGCTTCGAGCGGCCACGTTGCCCAGGGTACACCACGTGGAGGTAGTCAGACATCGCACCCCTCCTTATATTTGTCCTCATTCAACCTATATAACCTAACCTTATTGAGGTCCGTCATTTTCTTCGGGCAATTTGAGAAATGTATCCTATCTTTTTTATTATGAAAACTTTTCTGAAAAGAATACGTCATAAAAACATTTTGTCTATTACTCCTCACATAAAAATTTACATTTGTATCTCTAGAATTATGTGATGACTTCATATTTCGATCTAAATTACTATTATAGAAAGTTTATGTTTTTCTAAACATCTAACGTTGTTCATGAATTATTCTATGAACAAAATTCTTATTATTTGTATTTTCTCTCTTTAAAGAAGACATATATTCCATAACTAAATTCTTAATATTATTATTATTCTGCCTTGCCGACTTAAGAGTAATATTATTATTAGGACTATCATTATTTGCATTCACTACACGTGATTTATGCAAATACTTAGCATTTTCTTTATAAGAATATAAATAATTATTAGAGACATCGACAAAATTATTATCTTTTGTCAATTCGGACGTTCTCAAAAATTTAAATACAATGGGTTTGACAAATAATTGATGCCTACTAAAATCTATGACAACATTATGAGAGAATAGAAAATCTTGTCCTATAATCATGTCTCGATCAATATTTTTAACAACATAAAATAATAATCTTCAAATTGACTTTACCGATTACTTCAAGATTCACATTGTTTACTGCCCGAAGTGACATATCACATTATTATTATTATTTATTGCTGTAAGGGGCTATGCAGTTCCCTGAGGAACTGTAGTCACTGCGACCTTGAAGATCTATTGTGACTGGCCGCCAGAGACACAGTGACTCCTTTAGCCCGGTAGACTTCAAAAGACTATAATATTCCTGGCTTTTAGAGATTTTATATCTTCTGGGCTGATTATATGTCGTCCCAGATGTAAAATACCTATACATGGCACAATATCGTAATCCGAAATGACCGAAAAGATGGGTGGCGCAATGAAAAGCTGGTAGAATCCTTCAGTCATGATTTATTTGCGAACACGCGAATTCGAATACGAACAAAATAATAATTTAAAATATTAACAGCCAGCATTGACCATAAACCGTCCGAAGAGTAATGTGCTCGGACGTTACAGATGATTTTGGCTGAATTGAAGGGGTGATTTTTTTTACCTTTTCTAATGGATTAGCTGGTTTTTTATATAAAAGTTTGGAACCAATAATGAGGCCGACTGGCGTTTTGCCTGTTTTTTACATTAAAATGGCAACAATATTGCTCAGTTGATCTAGTTGTATTGCAGTAAATTTACTAACACAGATTAATGGACAAAAGAGAACAACCAAAATAAGAGTAGCGTTTTTCCCACCTTAACAAAAAATAAAAATAAAAAAAACTCCAGCAAAAAGAAAATAAAATCGCACATCAACAGCTATAACATTGGTTTTTTAGCAAAAGAAATATTTTTATGTTTTATTTGATAAATTTAACATTCACAATATCTTTATTGACAAATACTTAAAACTTCCTCGAGACCTGGGGCTTGTAGATTTTTTAAGAAATTCAATGTAATGAAAATGTCTTTATTCAAGTAAGTTTGTTTCAAGCACTTTTGAATCGTCCAAAAAAGTTTTACCCTACCACTTGTTCAGGACGTCTTTTAGCTGTCAAGAAGAACAAGCGAAATAAACTTACCAGCTATTTATCATAAGTAATGACATTTACATAACTCATGTCATTAGCAAAATAATATGTGTTATAACAATAATAAATACAACTTTCAAAGTCTGTAGAACATAAGTTGGTACATATAATTAGTCGTTATAGAACAAAGCGAAGGCTATTAATTCCATGCATTGCGGACCATAAAATAATCAGCAACTCTATAATAACCTTTACTTATAAGTATGTTCTTTACATGAATTTTAAATTTATTTTTGGCTAGGTCAATGGGTAGGTATAAATTTCAATTAACAAATATTTTGTATAATCTTATTTAAAAAGACCATAATTAGTCGATTTTTTTAAAGAAACTGTACATAACTAAGTCTATTTTGAGAAGATAATCACACACTCTCAACTAGAACTTAAATAGTAATCAAGAAAAAATCACATGCCATAGTAATGATATCTTATTAGCCGAGTGATTGTTATATAGGCACAAACGTGATGATAATACAAAATAACAACACCTTAGTGAAGAGTTCACCTAAATTTATTTGAAATATTGTAACATGCCACATCACAAGTAATAATCTAATTCAATAAAAAGGCAGAATATATAAATTATTTGATAGAATTCTCTGACAACAACTAATTAAAACTTCACGTTACCAATCTGGTACAGTCGAGCCATACAATCAATAAGTATAGGTAATTATATTTCACGTAGAAAAACTATATTTAACTGTAAACCACATAAACAACTGCTGTTATTATGAAAAATAAAACCCCCATTTCAAATATGTGCCAATTTTTACGATAGAAGAAACACACTACTGGCAGTTAAAAAATTTTTTTTTTCCTTTTTCTACCGTCACACTACGTTGTAATTTAAATTTCCAATGTCTTTCACCAAAAAATTTGTGATATCGCCTCTCACAACACCATAGTTGATCTCGTATGTACCTCTTAAATTACATAATATCTAAAAGCAAATTTTGTTTCACCAGATGCTCAAAGTCCTGATTTTACTTCTGTTAGCGGCGGTAGCTCTCCTGCCGGTCTACCTTTTATATCTGAAGAGTCCTCCTCCACTGCCTGAGGTAGATCTAAACGCGTGGTGGGGATTAGGAGAACCTAAAGAAGATACCGCTATAACACCATACAACATCAAATTTACCCAACCGGTAAGTTTTATAAGATTACTAATAATATTATAATTTCAATTTATGATCAGTATCGTTTAAAATATATGTATTTTACTAACAAATCTCCGATCCTTGAATGTTTTAGACCATTTCTTTTCTGATTTACTTGGTTTGACTAAGGAAAAACGGAGTCTACTTTGAATGAATTGGAAAAATAAATAAACAAACGCTTCGTTATGGGTTCAAGAATCACTGACCAATGAGAGATATTGTTCTTAAAAAAATCAGGAATCTTTTATTTTTAATAATATTACAGGATAGTTTTCGTTTTTATGAATTTATTCAAATAATGGAGTAAATAACATCTATTACTGTTTTTTTTATATATTAGGTAATAAAGGATCTCAAAGACCGTTTGAAAAATCGCCAACAATTCACTCCCCCTCTTGAAGGAGTCGCCTTCGAATATGGCTTTAATACAAAAACCCTGGACTCCTGGGCCACATATTGGATGGAAAAGTACAACTTCACAGAGAGAGAGAATTTCTTCAATCAGTACCCCCACTACAGGACCAAGATACAAGGACTGAACATTCACTTCATCAGAGTTACACCAAAAGTAATCATCGTTTTTTTAAGTTTTGTTTTCAATATAAAGTATTGGAAATATATAATAGCGAATTAAGTAAAGCCAAGGAGATCATGTATATTAAGAAATGTACTAGACCCTGCGCTCCTATGCTGCATTTAATGAGCATTCTATTATATTATATATATTGCCAGTCTATTATATAGTTTTATTTATAAAGTTGATTCACATAGTTCTTTGTTGACAGCACTAGTACTCCATAGATTTGTATCTTTTTAACGTAGATTCTTTTTCTAATTGTAAATAAGAATTGTATAACAATATTGGATGATGAGTAATAATTTTCATCTTTATTTAAAGGTTCCACCAGGCAAACAATTAGTACCTTTGCTTATGGTACATGGTTGGCCAGGCTCTATTAGAGAGTTCTATGAAGCCGTCCCTTACTTGACTGCCGTCAGTAAAGATAGAGACTTCGTGCTGGAACTGATTATACCAAGTCTTCCAGGCTATGGACATTCGGAGGTAAGCTTACATTGGTTTAATATGCTCATAGTAATAAAAACTGAATATATTAAACTATTTCATATACCAATACGACTTAACCCATTTTTTTTCATATACAATTTTAAAAAAAATTATCAATGTCATTTTTTAAAACTTAAGTTAGCGTGCATATATTTTGTTAATATTATAGTGTTAGCCGATTAATACAACATATTTTATAATATCGTAAAATTATAGGTACGATATATATCAATTAATTGCAAATTTATCAACAGGCAGCAGTGAGGCCTGGTATGGGTCCCCTGGAGATCGCAGTGATCTTAAGGAATCTGATGCAGAGGCTCGGCTTTCAAAAATATTACATACAGGGTGGCGACTGGGGTTCCATCATCTCAGCCAACATGGCAACGCTATTTCCTAAGGTAAATTTTCAAATTTATACTTCTCAGATTATTTAAAATATAATTAATTCTCCATAGTTTCTCTTATTGTAGAATTTACATTATTAAACATATTCCTCTGCTATTATGCCCCTTAGAGTAGAATTTACAATTGATGAAATGACGTTCAATTACTTATAATAGCCAAAGTTTACAAAACTAAATAAGTAATTGTACTGTTTAAATTTTCTTTGCAATAAACTTATTGTGTTTCTCCAATAACAAGCATAGGTTTGATTGCCTCTTCCTATGATTCGTAGCAATCTACACAATGATATTATTAAGATTTCGTGATTATCGGTAGTTTTGTTATAGGGAAAATCCTCAAATATGGTTGGCTCTCTGAACCTCATCTGTGGAGGCGAATGATACAGATTAATTCAATAAAAATTTCAAAATATGTGGATTAAGTTGTCACCCATCAATAAAAGTTGACTGAATAACAAAAGTAAGCTTATCTTCTCTTTTTCAGGAAGTACTTGGGTACCACTCAAACATGGTAGCCATATTGTCGCCAACAATTACTTTCTTCGAACTCTTAGGCTCAATCTACCCTCCTCTAGTAGTGGACAGTAAACTGGCTGATCGTTTATATCCTCAATCAGACATGTACAGCTTTTTGATGGAAGAGTCTGGCTATCTTCATATACAAGCCACAAAGCCTGATACTATTGGTAAATAAAATATATATTTAAATTATTTACTTACATATCTTACATACACACAGATTGTGTCCCAAAGTAGATGACAGATGTAGTGACATTGTTGTGGTAAAGTTGTTTCCAGACTACTGGATGAGTAAATTTTTAATAGTGTATGAAAAGCTTTTCTTCTGATCCAGATCTTTCTTGAGATCTTTCTTGGATCTGTAAAAATATATTCGTATTTCAAGTACGACTCGAATAAAAATGTAACTCTCTTATTTTTTCCAGGAATATCCTTATTGGACTCACCAGCAGGTCTCATGGCCTACATTTTAGAAAAATTCTCAACTGGAACCTGTAGAGATTTCCGCTCGAAAATTGACGGAGGTCTCGAAATACGATTCACTAAGGACCAATTGATTGACAATCTGATGATGTACTGGACTACCAGGTCTATGACTACGGCTATGAGACTCTATTCAGAAGGCTTCAACAAGAGATACATGTCTTTGAAAATGGATGAGTAAGTGGTCTTTGCCTGTAATTTGCTTAGAATGTAATCTGGTAAGATTTTATAAGCAACTAACTTTTCACCGGTTTTCCAGAATCCCAACGCCTGTACCAATGTGGGCCTTGCAAGCAAAACACGAAATAACATACTTACCGCCATGGCTAATCAAATTAAAGTATCCTAACCTTATCAAAGACAATCCCATCGATTATGGTGGTCATTTCCTGGCGTTAGAACGACCACAGATGTTCTCCGAAGATGTCTTGAACGCAGTCCAAGCTTTCAAACAGTGGCATAAGAATAGTAACGTGAAGACTGATTTATGAGATCATGATGAATAGCTTTTTCAATTGTGCTTTTTAAATAAATATTTTTGAAATCAATGTGTTTCATGATACAACGTTTCCGTACTGCATAGGTATTTATTAATGACACCGGGACAGACAATAAACGGGACAAAAAATGGGACGGTCATGTACTATGGAAATGTTTTTCGCTACTACTCGTACGGATTAACATGACACCCTCTCTTCTCTCATCTATGAAATGCTACGAGTCCAAATAAACTAATTTTTCGGTAATTTATGGTGCAACGGAGGTAGGACCTGACGCTGTGTCCGATGCACAGATAATCAACAAAGAACGATTCGTAATTTTCCGAAATGTCTTTCGAGGATAAATAGAAAGGCCTTGAAATGTCATGTTAACTCTTACGAGTATTTCGTACTAGTTACAGATTCTGAATACGGTTATCAAACCTTAAAATGTCTCCGACGTAGTAGTAGCGCCGAATTCTCTGATTACCCGGGTTCGATTCCCGATAATATATAAGTAGAAAATAGACTTTTCTATATTGTCTCGGATCTGGGTACTGTAGTCCCTTCGTTGGTTATTCGTTAAAAAAGTAAAAAAAAAACACGTTTGTTGTTTTCTATGGAGTCGTTCGAAATTTTCGAATTGCATAATATTGGTCGACTATTACTCGTAAACTTAAAAAGCCATCTTAAGTGTTATAGTTTTTCATTTAACTTCGTTATATATAGTTATTTCTGCCGTGGTGTTTGAATTTTCACCAACGACCGTCTTGTTGATAGAGATTCTAACGAAGATTAGCTCTTTCATACTTAATAAGTCACAAACGGTTTACTGAATCGAAAAACGGCTTTCCCAATCCTGCAATGTTTTTGAAAGACCTATCTAAAACCCACGCTATGAGGAAGACGAAAAAACTTTACATGAGGGAAGTATTACAAAAAATTTTTTCGTCGGCATTATCAACGTGTATACTCATATCAAATTCCATTTTCAAGCACCAATACTTTTTGAGCTAACCCGCGTATGGACGTACGGACAGACATGACGAAATATTTAACGGGCTTGCTACTAAATACTAAAAACATTATTATTTCAGAAGTTGCATCACATACATTTCTGAAGTGCTGGTAGGACTATATTATAAATGGTCTAATTTTTATTGTAATGCAATTGCAGTGGTTAAAGAGGGATGGTGATAAGTATTCATATAGTTGTCTCTCATGGAAGAGTCACTAAAATCATTTATATGTTAATTTATTTAGCTCACAAAACAAGTTATAGTAACATAATTTAAATAAATGTACACAATTACGAAATAATACTACCGTAACTCGTTAAAAAAATGAGCATAATATGCCATATATAGAATATACAAATGCCATGAGGGTAACATAAAAACGTAGTCACAGAACATTTAAAAAACGCAGCAAAAAACAAACACACACATACTTTTAAGAGCGCAAGATACCTTGGACTGTCTTTTTAGACATAGGTGCATTCAAACCAAAGCTGCCAACTGTGAGCTAGCGTCATGCAGTTTATTTTATTTCATTGATTATTTATTTTTTAGTTTACACCAAGCTTTCAATTGAACAAGAAAGTAAATCCATAGATTAGCACCAAAATGCATAGGATGGCCAAAAGTGGAAATCCATCGTTGCTGGAAGAGCCAATGACACATCATGAGCATTTTATTTAGTAACAATATCAGTTTGGAGTGGAGTAATAATCATTTTGGAGTACCCTCGATAAATACCTTCTTCCGATAAAGACGAAGATTTGTTTTAATTAGTATATTTGATCAATTATAATCATTAAAACAATTATAATAATTTTCGTCTTTATCGGAAGCTTAAATATTTGTAAAAATATTTCTTAAGGGTGTTTTGGTGGATTACCTGGACATTGATGAAAATACGCTTTGTAGTAGACCAAAAGTAAAATTACTTGATAAATTCATCAGTCCTGTTAGGTCCTGGGGAGCTCAGTGGTAATGCTCAGACATAAAAAACCTATATTTAATCTAGTCCGTGAATATTATGATATTTTTTATCAGTAACATAGAGACAGCGGACGGGGCTACACGTGCCGTTGTCTACAGCCGCACCCAGCAAGGTATGCCCAATTTAGTGTTGATTATCTTAACCTTGACAATGACTTGCGAACATAACAATCACTGTTACTTTGAAATATATATTTTTGCAAATCTATTTATCAAATGTATAATATGAACACGACTAGACGTTTTAAAAATAACAAATTTTCATTGCAGTGTAAAGTGAAATGGTATTAATTTAAGTACATAGCTATCTGCTTCTGCTCATTCCCACTTACTCAACGTATTATAAGTTTTTAACTCTTGATAGATCATCAACAGCTTTATATATGGTTTCCATAATTCGGTAGGAAATATCATTACGAAAGTGTTTGAATGGGGTTACTAGATTACTACGTTGTAAGCTGTTGTTGACATTTTTTCTCTTCCGATAATGGGTAATAATGAATGTTTCTTGATATCAATCAGGCCAGTATAAGCTTCAACATGATGCTTATTGATTTTTTTAATTGTAATATTAATATATTTTTAAGCGAAAAGTGTTTTTTTTTTGTCTACTTTAGTCATAAAATAAAACCATCTACGGCGGGGACCTTGTACTGAAAATAACCTTTAAAGACTCAGCAGGAGCTATTATGTTTTTGCTCAATCATGGCATTTTCCGTAGTATTCGGGACTCAGCTTCCGATAAAATGGAACTTTATTTTTTTATTTCACCAGATGCTCAAAGTCCTGGTTTTACTTCTGTTAGCGGCGGTAGCTCTCCTGCCGGTCTACCTTTTATATTTGAAGAGTCCTCCTCCACTGCCTGAGGTAGATCTAAACGCGTGGTAGGGATCAGGGGAACCTAAAGAAGATACCGCTATAACACCATACAAGATCAAATTTACCCAACCGGTAAGAGACAAGAATGAAATCACCTAATAAAATAAAATACAGAGGTTGACTAATAAAATACCTTAAAATAATCCAGGCAAATTAATTTATTACAGCTTTGTCGTGTTGAATTTAAGAACAGTTCCTAGGATCCCCTATCATTTGGTAATATGGCTCAAAATAATAAAAATCTTTTAATAAATATCAACAAAAATCAATTACATTATTAATCACAAACCGAAGACTTCAAACTCCTTATTAGTATTAATATGCGAAGTTATTCTTGAAATTCTACGTTTTGTGTTTTGTATATTTGTAATGAATAAACTCGAAAATGACTGGTCCTATTCTAAATATTCTTTTACTAAAATAGAAATAGATGGTGTGTACATCGGCATATATTTTAATTATAAGGTGGTATGAGGCTCGCGAGGTCAGTTGATGTTTGATAAATCATTAAAAGTTTTGCACAGTCATGGTGACGATGTGAAATAAATAGATTTTTTTAAATGTTATTCTAGGTAATAAAAGATCTCAAAGATCGTCTTAAAGCTCGCAAACCTTTCACCCCACCCCTCGAAGGAATCGGCTTCGAATATGGCTTCAATACAAAAACCCTCGACTCCTGGGCCACATATTGGATGGAAAAGTACAACTTCACAGAGAGAGAGAATTTCTTCAACCAGTACCCCCACTTTAGGACCAAAATACAAGGACTGAACATTCACTTCATCAGAGTTACTCCAGAAGTAAGTAGCATTTTACGAAAGCTGATTAATATTATCTTTAATAGTCAACCCAGTGGTATACCCTGGTGCACCAAGAGGTGACAGACGGTTGTTGTTTTTGTAAAACCAGCTATCATTCAAAAGTTCTAGGCTTGTTATAAACTTCTTAAATTTCAATTGAAATAACTCAAGTAACTGAATGTAAAAAAATCTGGATGATTTTGATATTGATTAGTAATTGTCGTTATTCCAAGGTGCCGCCAGGCAAACACTTAGTGCCCATACTTCTTCTGCATGGTTGGCCAGGCTCTGTTAGAGAGTTTTACGAAGCCATCCCTTACTTGACTGCCGCCAGTAAAGATAGAGATTTCGTACTGGAACTGATTATACCAAGTCTTCCAGGCTATGGACATTCTGAGGTAAATATTTACTTTTCGTGTCGTATTACGTGAATGATACATCTTTATTTTTTTCCAAAGCATTACTGAATTAAAAAGATCTAAGTAATATTATAGTCCAAAAGATACGAGTATATTTTTTATTATTTCTAAAGTATAAATTAGTACGAGTAGAATTTACGCAGCATTCTTGTGAATTATTGTTTAACTTTTACACCTAGACATTCTATAAAATTAAACTTTCAAGTGTCTTAATTTGAACTCTAAATATTTCAGATTCTCTGTAATTAATCTATTTAATTATTTTAAACTGAGTAATAAATTTAAATCTAGTATAAAATGTCGATAGTGCTGTTTCTCCATTTATCAAGCTCTAGGTTATAAAATTATAATACTTATTAATTTTTCATCCCAAATACCATTTTGATACTTATCTAATGACCTCGCCTCTAAGGTGCTGAGATGTTTCAGTTTTGATTCATTTTTAACTAGGTGAATGAAAATATTACACTCCTATATTAGTCCTATATTATCTGATAAATACGAGTATTTTCAATCACTGATAATTCCATTACAAGAAACTTTCAATATGAAAGATATAATGATCCAAATGTAAAATAAAAATAACGATAACAATTATAATTCACTTATAGAAATACCTACACTACTGTCCAAACACTACCGTGTTTGTTCCAACAAACATAAAAGAATACAAAATTTTTGAGACACAAACTTTGCTCTTGGTAATGAAATATCTTTATATGTAAACGATTTTTAACTACGTCACTAAATTCAGGGAGCAGTGAAACCTGGTATGGGTCCATTGGAGATCGCAGTAATCTTTAGGAACCTGATGCAGAGGCTCCGCTTCCAAAAATACTACGTCCAAGGTGGAGACTGGGGTTCCCTGATTGCAGCCAATATTGCAACTTTATTCCCGAACGTAGGTTATTTTACATTTGATGATATTTTTATTACACCAAACATCTTATTGAAGACATTATTGATATTTCTAATTGGCGAACAGCTGAATATTTAGATTGCAATATTTATATAGGTACCAATTGAATATTTATTTGCTTTGCTTGTATAATTATAATTATCCACCTTAATTCTCAATTCCAAACATTTCTTATCTAATTCTGACAAAATTTCGTCATTTGCTGTTGTTTTCGAATTCCGAAAGGCCATTCCAATACTCAAAAATTATGGAGGATTTTATACAGGTTTTTGTTAGTATGTATTTTGTGTCTCTATACAATAATTAAATATTTTTAAAGAAAATCTATGTCACTTCCTTCTGAGAGGAATACTATAACTAATTTTGTTTCAGGAAGTGCTTGGCTATCACGCAAACGTGATCTTCTTAATGACGCCAACTGTTACCTTCTTCGAACTCTTAGGCTCAATATATCCACCTTAAGTAGTGGATAGTAAGCTGGCTGATCGTATATATCCTCAGTCAGACTTGTATAGCTTTTTGATTGAAGAATCTGGCTACTTTCATATACAAGCCACTAAACCAGATACAGTTGGTAAAATCGTGGATGTTTAATACTATCATTCATATTCATAGTAGAGAGAAGTAATTACTTGAGAAAATGTAAATACTATGAACAGTTCTTACTTCATTCAAATTCTTGTTTATTTGTTAATAATAGTTGCTTAAGTAATTACTTTCACTCGACTATAGATAGAGGTGTAAGATTTTAAGAAAGAAAAAGGGTACTTGAGACTAATACATTTTTTAAGTATTTTTCTTTAAGATATTTATTAATATAGCATTAGAAATCCAAAATTCATCAAATATAATAATGCTAACACTTTTAAATAAACTACGTTTATTTTCCTTGTATTTTCACTACAGATTTGACAACGTAGCTTTTTCTGTTAAGAACGAGGATTTCCGATGATACTTCTTCAACTTTGTAAATACTTGTAAGCCGCCTGCACTGAATAATTATAATTGTAATACGGTCTCGAGTCTCAATTGTCATGATACATCATTTGGATTAACATATATCATTTATAATTTTAGGAGTAGCATTAACGGACTCACCGTCTGGGCTCATGGCATACATTTTGGAGAAGTTCTCAACTTGGACTCGTAGGGAATTCCGGTCAAAGGTCGATGGTGGTCTCGAATTCAGGTTTACTAAGGATCAGCTGATCGACAACCTGATGATGTACTGGTCAACCAGATCTATAACCACGTCTATGAGACTATATTCAGAATGCTTCAATAAAAGAAATATGGCTTTTAAAATGGATGAGTAAGTGGTCTTTACATGTGTCTTTATATAAATTATTTGGAATCAAGTCTTGATTTTATCTCTGTAATAGCTTGAAGCTACCGAAATGGTTTGCACAATGTTACTTATCTTTAAAATATTTGAACAAATCGACAGAATTGTAACGTATATTTATTTCTTAAGTAATAATTTAAAATTGCTTTAAGACTAATATTTACTATTGTCCTCATACTAAGTGAGCTTGGTTTGGAGCACTAATATCATATTGATATTAGTGCTCCAAACGTGACTTAAAAATATCGTAAAAATACGTGACGTGTCGTAAAAATATTTTAACGACATGTCTATTTGATCTGCTAAATATTGCAAATCGAAACATATTGATTAGTAACTGGCAGAGACATTGACGAATATGGTATTATCATACACATTTTCAAGAATTCGATTTATTAAAAAAACATCGTTTGACTCTTCTATAGAATCCCAACAACAGTGCCGACGTGGACCATTCAAGCTAAAAATGAATTAGGTTATTTACCACCCTGGCTCATCAAGTTAAAGTACCCCAACCTAATCAAAGACAATCCCATCGATGATGGTGGACATTTCCTGGCGTTCGAACGACCACAGGTGTTCTCTGAAGATGTCTTGAATGCGGTCCAAGCTTTCAGACAGTGGCATAAGAAGAGTAACGTGAAGACTGATTTATGAGATATATAACAAATGTTGTTTTTGATTAAATAATTTAATTAAATTGTGAGTAAATAATTAATTACTGTATTATATGAATATTATTTTTGCGTTTTTTGCCCTAATATAGAGTCGATAGAATTTTGTCTCTTAATCGTTACTAATAAAGATATAAACATACAAATTCTGTAAGTATGTTGTGCCTTATTTTACTATTTATTTCTAAAATAGTTTCACAAATAACCAATTTAGCTTAGTTACGTTGCGTTAACCAGATGCTAACCATGCAAGAAAACAGGAAACTTGGTTTACAGAAAAGTCTCAAATTCCCTAGTTTATTGTCTCTTACTATAAGATTATAAGTACCATGGTGTAAGGTCACTTAAAAAAATTGGTTTCCAGTTTCATTGATAGCAAAATTTTTTTACACATGTACATTGCTCTGAAGCACACGTTACACATAACCTTTATATTGTAGAAATATAACGAAGGCACTATTCAACCAACGAACCAAGACGCAAATCTGAATAAATATAAAAAAAGACCCAGACGCGATTAAATAACTCTTGCCGCAAGATGTATTTAAGAAAATGATACTTAATGATGACTTGCCAAAAATTACATTTATCATTGGCTTGTTTTGTGTTTTGAACTTTGGATTTGATTAGATAGATAAATGAACAATTCTTAATATATTATTTGGAACAACTTATTTACAATTATTATATAGACTAGGGAAGTAGTTTATAAAATTTATTAAGAATTTGACTAGGTAGTTATCTTAACCTGGCTGTTAATTTTACCGTACACATTTTCTATTCGGAACTTGTAGTCTTCATAAATCTGTATAATTATAACAATATCCAGAGAGTGCAATAATATGTTTATGTCATTGATATAATAATTATCTATCATTAACACTTTTTATCAAAATCACATATGAAAAACTTTCCGTAACCTATAACACAGAGTCCAATAAATAAAATGATACTCAAATCCGTGTCCATACACGACAGATACGTATTATGACGATTCGATTCGTTTATAAGGTGTACGTTTGTTTGGTGCTTCAAGATAACCGATGTTTATCTTTTTAAACACAGTTATCAACAGGGCTGCCAGTGAAATGGACTTATTTTATACCATCATGAATCTTAACGATACAATCACATAAAAGAAGAAATAAATAAATTATGATTAAATGATTACGAGAACATTTCGATACAGATACACGATCTTATGCCATGGATTTAATGTCAGTTATGAGAAGTTCAATTATTTACCCAGTAGAACCTCTGGCAGCCCTACGGTTACGTAACTGTCGTGGAGCATAGTTACTAACAAATGATGGCACCGGGTCCGCTGCCGGTCAATTACCGGTAGTCAAGCAAGGCAGTGCGTTCTTGTACACTGAGGAGGGCGCACGCGCATGTAACTAGGAGTTTTTTTGTTTTACCGGTAAGTTGCCTTGAACTTGTTTATAATTTATTTTGAGCGTGAATGCATTATCTTAGAAATGAAGTGGAAGTTTACAGTGTCTCATTTATGCCAATGAACTGTGAAATAAATGAGATCTCAGTGGTATTCGAAAATATTCAATTTGTTTATGTGTTACTAAAGATCCCAAAATAAATAGCTAAAGGATTTCTGTCATGGTATTTGAAACAACAAAGATAACACAACACCTAAACCCGAGACAATATACATAGAAAATTCATTTATAATTTGACCCGATTGAAAATCAAACTCGGGAAATCAGACATGGCGATTCCTTGGTAGTTTTGTTTTGATTTGAGGATTTTATTATTAAGCCTTATAAAGTTTAAAAATAAGACTATAGATGTACCTCTAGTAGTATATAATTGTACCATGTATATTATATATATACTTGTCCAGCTGATATTAAATGAAACGCAAATTTCAGTATGATCTTATTACAAGAATATTATTTTTGTACCTACCTTAGCTTAACGACCACGCTTATTATAGCTTGCCGTCTTAGTTTTCCTGTAGAGTTACTTGGTTATCTCAGCGGCTCTCTCGCGTTACTATCTGTACCTGCATCGTGTATCGGCTTTTAAACATCAAAATGCAGTACTGATTGATCTGTCAAACCAACCATGACACACGTTACGTAGTATCTCCACCACTTTTGAAAACAAAAGACATAATAACTCTGACTTTGAATAAGTGGGGTACCGAAAAAAGGTCATTATTTTATATTTTATAGTAGTATTCCTAATTTTATAACAATTCAGTTAGCAATCCGCTACCATATTATTTATCTACATGGTACTTAATGAATAACTTTTTTCTGCCGAGTAAACTATAGTCATTAAATGAAATATAAACAATTAAAATATATCTATTAGAACTTTATATACTTACATTTTACAGAAAATGGCGAAATTCATCTTTCTGCTAGCCATTCTGGCTGTCGGAGCTGGAGTGTGGTTCATGGTACAGACACCGGAAGCACCCATTCCACATTATGATCCAGAAGAATGGTGGGGACCCAGTGCACTGAAAGGAAGAGTGGACAAGATGATAAAACCATTTAAAGTGCAGTTTGAGGAATCGGTATGACACTTCTTACCTAATTAAAAATATGTGAAGCAAAATAATGGCGGGGTGCTAGAGGGACTGCTCTACCGTAATATTCATTGACTTCTACATCAAAATTAGCTTCATCAGTTTATCCGTCTATGGCGGGAACCTTTCCTTTTCTAATTCTAACGTCCACTTTAGAGTCAATTAGAAGTTGAGTTAAAGATTATATCCAGACATAGGTAAATAGAGAGGTAATAAGACAATGTTGTAAATCAAATCTATGTTTAAATAAGTTTCGTTTAAGATTTAGTTTATGCTACTAATTAATCCCCATAGATTGCAAGGGTGATCAGGAATCTAAGAATGCACTTGAATTTCAGATGATTAAAGATCTGAAAAATCGCTTGAAGAACTACCGTAAACCACCACCTCCTCTAGAAGGTGTAGCTTTTGAATACGGCTTCAACACCAAGAATCTCGACAGCTGGGTGAACTACTGGGCTGATAAATATAATTTCGCGCAAAGAGAAGCCTTTCTGAATAAATTTCCACAGTTCAAGACTAACATCCAAGGACTGGATATACATTTCATTAGAGTGAAACCTCAGGTATGTGATTTAAGTTTGGTTAGAAATTAATTTGGTTCGATTTATACGTATATGTTTGTTATTACCATAATAATATTCAAACTAGATGACCGTGTAGCTTCTGCATCTACGATTTTAAAGGATAATATAAATTAGTCGGCACAAGTTACGGATAAGCTATTGATGTCGGTTTTATATATGTACATTCGTTACTATTCCCAATCTGCTATACCTATTATGACCCCCTTTTATGATTACATAAATACTCGTAAAGAAACCATTTAAATTAAAACTTTACATTTAGGCTTTTCACGCCCTTAACGCCGCCAATGACATATTATTTTCCTTTTGTTATTTTAATTTCTATTGTGTGTTTTACAGCTGTAAATTTTCCTAACTAAAATAAATACATAAAATATCTAATGAGTATTTTATTTTTTAGGTTACCCAAGGAGTTCAAGTGCTGCCCTTATTGCTTGTCCATGGTTGGCCAGGATCAGTACGAGAGTTCTATGAGGCGATTCCGCTGCTCACCACACCAAGGCAAGGGTACGACTTCGTTTTTGAGGTTGTCGTGCCCAGCTTGCCAGGATATGGATTCTCAGATGTAAATACAACTTTCAAAGTACTATCTGTATAGGATATTAATATATATCAATCAGATACAATAATTTTAAGTTGAATCAATATCAAATTCAATAATGGTTCCAGTATTTTTACGAACAATATACTATTCTATCATGTTTAATAAAATTTGGGCAGTTTTAAATAATTTTTAATTAGTAGCGTAGTTTTAGTATCAAATAGTTATTGAATCGAAATATCAATATATATAAAAATATGTTATCATCACCATAATTCCGTATTAAGTTATAAAAAATAAGTTAACTGCTCTTCAATTTTACCTCAATCCCCAGGCAGCTATACGTCCAGGCCTTGCAGTACCCCAAACAGCTGTAATTTTCAAAAATCTCATGTCGAGGCTTGGCCACAAGAAATTCTACGTTCAAGGTGGAGATTGGGGAGCTGGAGTAGTATCTGCCTTGTCCACTATTTACCAAGATGACATTCTCGGTCATCATACCAACATGGCTTTTGTACAGGTACCATATCCAAACCCCTTAATATTATGATGAAAACAGTGCTAGGAGCATAACCTGGCAGATATTATTATCATCATCATTATCATCAGCCCTTTTACGTCCCCACTGCTGGGGCTGAGGCCTTCCTTGTGGATGGTTAAGGAGGATGGGCCACGACCCTCCACACTGGCCCAATGTGAACTGGAGGGTATTAACGACTACAAATGCAGCCGGGATCAACGTGCCTTCCGAAGCATGGAGTAGCTCGAGATAATATTTTTTGGGTCATCCATTCCGTGATCGACCCTTGCAAAAATTGCTTAACAATAACGATCGCAGTCCGCGGCGCTTATCCACTACGCCACCGAGCTACTCTCGATATTATTAGATATTATAGTAAAATGCTATAAATTTGTTAATACATTCTTTTTTAATTTATCTTTGAATAGCTACTCTTATAATAAAATAATAATTTAGGCTCATTATTAGTTTAATTTGTTATGAAGAAATTAAATGAATCATTTCAAACTTTCCAGCATCCAATGGCAACAATGAAAACTTTGGTTGGATCAGTCGTCCCATCTCTAGTGGTGGAACCTCATCTTGCTGAGAGAATGTATCCATTATCATGGTTTATCTCCTACGTACTGGAAGAGTTCGGTTACTTTCACTTGCAGGCAACTAAACCAGATACCATTGGTAAGAAATCTTGCCTCATAATAGATTAAATCTTCGAAAAGGGGTGGATTTTGACAAAAAATATGCAATAATTCTAGACTTTGGGCATCTAAAAAATAAACGATTATTAGTAATAGGATGAAAAATATAAACGAAAACTTTAGATACACTTTAGATCATGTTCTGAAACATTGAAATATAAAAATTTCTTGAATGCAATCAACTTGAAATTTAAATCGTTTTCTGGTATCTTTCAGGGCTAAGAAAGCCCCCTATGGACCCTCATTTAATAAAAAGTATGAATATATTAATTTATTGGTATATTTAAATGTAACCTTTTCTTGTTTGCCATATGTATATCTGAATGGACACGGCGTAGCAAGCAAAAGTAATGCATATATTAAATTAGATAAGCTCGACCTCACTCTATTAAATAAAGATAAATACAACTTATAAATACAAAAATAATGTAATACGACAATGTAATAAAATCCATCAAATTACAGTTCATAGAAAATTACTTTATGACATGTGAAAATTGATTTCATATAGACCATAAATCTAAACCTTTATAGATAAAATAATTCTGGAAAAGAAAGCATTATTGATAAAATAATCTTATTTTCTAGGTGTCGCTCTCAGCGATTCCCCAGCAGGCTTACTAGCCTATATACTGGAGAAGTTTTCCACTTGGGTGAATCACAACAACAAATTCAAAGCAGACGGTGGTATCGAAATACGTTTCACGAAAGACCAGCTCATTGACAACCTTATGATGTACTGGTCTTCTAACTCGATCACCACGTCTATGAGGTTCTATGCAGAGAATATGAGCAGCAAGATCAGAGCCCAGAACCTGGCAACGTAAGTATTGCAGTAAATTCTGTGAAACGCAGTTTCAAACACAGCGCCTTTAAAACATCACAGAACCAATAAAATAAAACCTACTTAAACAAGTTTTATTGCATTTGTAATCTCAGAACAAAATTATAAGATGCATTGACAATGTTGTATGCTGTATACGTAGATATTAACGAAGCAAATAATCAGAAAACATATACATTTTACTCGGGAGCTTTATATTTTTTAAATATTTGTTTTCACTAAACCTTAATGAGTATATGTTTACTGTTAACGAAAGTAACAAGTGCTTAAGAAATACGTTATAGTTATGGACACGATTGTTAGAAGTATCTTTGCGGCCTTGTAAGACACCTAAGTTATATATGTAATTGATTTTTCTTCCAGGGTAAAAACTAATGTCCCTACATGGGCATATCAAGCGAGATACGAACTATTCTACCAGCCACCGAGTATCCTTAAACACAAATTTGCAAACCTTATTAATGTTACGGTAACAGACGACGGCGGACATTTCCTAGCTTTCGAAATGCCGGAAGAACTTTCAGCGGATATCTTCAAAGCAGTAAAAGCCTTTAAAGAATTCCACGTGCGAAATAAGAAGACAGAGCTGTGATTACGAAAAGACTGTTTTTTAATATTAATCGAACAAAACAAAGGCTGTTGAAAAATACATATGTTAATTTTCGGGTTTTCCAGAAGCTATGGACTAGGAATAATTGTTCAATTTTAAAATCGATCGCAAATGCTTTTAACTTGACATTTGAAAGATATTCATGAATTTGACGCTTCAACTATTTGACATGTGGTAACTATGGCGATCGTGATGTTTTTTGAAAGAACGAAAGAAAGAAAGAGAACGTCGCCAATTTTCTAAGACAAGCCTTAAATATCACTTCAAGTTAAATTTGTTTCATAAGGGGTTGCGACTTCAAACGTTAAATGATTCCAAAAAACTTTGAATGTGATAACGATTGTATTAAGTCAATTAGGAAAACAAAATGCAGTATCAATTGTTCCTAGAATGAAATATGAAATGAAAATAATATTGTAATTAAAAATCAAAGTACTACTAGCCCAAACCAAATGTTGAGTAAATTTTTTTATTATAAAGTACCTAGTTTGTTTTAATCTCTCCATGCTTTACACACTTAATTATAAAGACAGGAGCGTTATGGCCAACACTGGGCTTGCTTTATTTTAATATTAAAATAGCTTTAGTTTTTAAAAATGCTAGGCTTGTGTCTTACAAGTGAAAACATAGGTGCCTGTTATATATCCAGAAAATGTGGACCATTTCAACTTAGAAAGATTTTACAAAACATATTTTATGACACTTATTTGGAAAATATCGTACTAATAAGTACGAGTATGAGCGGGTCGAGAACGTTCTATGGCGGGGGGTATAAAGAGCGGGTGGTGATCATGCACGCCAGTAATACTTCATATGTCCACATCCATAACATGACAAAATATTTGTCAGTTGGTAATCATTTACGGAAAAAAGCTTTCATGAGGAACCCCAGTTACAACAGTACATAGACTTTTTCAAATCCAAACCGGCAAAGTTTTACATAGACACAATCCAATCTTTGCCTAATCGCTGGCGTACAGTGGTGTATTACCACGGTGATTACATTGCGAATGATTAGCTATTATTTCATAAATAAAATTTTAAGTTACGCGTGTCGCTCATTATTATTCCCGATTATTAATGTTATTAACCCGATATTACGCTTTGAAAACTTGAAAAAGTAGGGAAAATATACTACAAACATTTGCTAAAATACATATGGCATTAAATTTGTTACATAAAATGTAACAATGTTCATTATAACAACTATAAACATAAATGCACAAATAACAACGATATAACAAAGATTGCCCAGACGCCCATACGTTTACCGCTACCGTTGCACTGTTAAATTTGTAGAGAGCGTTTTCGCGCAGACTAGCACTAGTTCCACAAACAGGGGGCCAATCCTACTAAATAAGAATACGATACAATTCCAGTTCTATTTTAGCTGGAATTGTATCGTATGTCACTCTTAGTAGAATAGAAAAACCATTAAAAATTGTAGTTTCGTTGGGTTTCGATCCGTTTTCGATTCGATTTAAACAAAATTTATTTAGTAGAATTGGCCCCCAGCACTGTATCTTCGAAACTATTAACCGCTGATACAAATATTAAAGAGAATTAAATTGACTATTTATCAATAAAATAATAAAGATTATTCTGGTAATTTTTGCAGAATGTAGTTAAGCTCACAATACAAACGGAAGCGTAGGTATAATAACCTATAGCAATCATTCTAGTGAAACAAATAATTTTGCAACGAGCTTTTTGCCGTTGTTTTCTGACATCCTCATGAAGAAAACATTTTTTGACTTATATTTACCAAAGTCTGCTAGAATAGCTTGGAAGTGTTCATAGCGCTGTATAATTTGTTCAGTTCGACAAAATAAAAAAAGGCGAATGCTCAAACATAGTATAAAGCTCAAATGTTAACAGTGAGTGTCTATTTTCACCTTTAATCACGAAAATGTTTCTTTTTTTGCATTAAGATTTATTACTTTAAACAACTTCCGGAAAGTAATTCATATTCTTTTTGACCGACCCCAAAATCTCTTTCCGCGAATTGTTGACCGATTTTAAAGAATCTTTATGGACCGAGATGGTTTAAATTTAAATTTTCTCAGAATCAAATCAGTAGTTTTCCTTTTATAAGAAAACAAAATACAGAGCGCATCACCTACACCTAAATATTTAGATGATATTTTTATATCAGCAAAAAAAAGATAGCGTCTTTTGCATTCAGTCAAAATCGGAAAGGATCTTCTATTATATGTTCAACGTGTGTGTATATTTTTCATGTAAGTAGGTAATTATGTTCATCAATTTCTTCTTGAATTGTGAACCAAATTTTAAAAAACTAGCTGTTTCCGGCCGAGTTCGCCTGTACCATCCCGTAGATGAAAGACTTTTATGATCGGTCCAATAGTTTCAGTCGGAGCCTATCCACTGCAAACTATGAAATATTTCTGGTGTAAAGTTCATACACTCTCCCCTGATAAGTATAGATTATTGGAAAAAATAAGTCTAGCAAATAAATAAAATCTACTTGCCTAAAACTTCAAACTTTTCACTATCATTTTTTATAGTTTGAATTTGGTTCTTTTTTTACTAATTAAAAAAAAAATTACTAAAAATATTATATTTAAATGCCAATCCAAATAAAAAAAACAGCAACGGTTCAGTTATTTGGATCTAAGTAATTGTTATTCAACCCCAAACGCAATGTTAGCCCTCAGGTTATGGGGTGTGAAGTTCTCACAGTCTCTCCTGATGTCTAATTGATAGTAGGCTCGGCACGTGGCCGGGGCTAATGTCGCATTAATATACCGGATTACCGCTTATCTCACATTCGAGTACCGACCGGGGAAGTATCGATTTCAAAGGCAAATATTTTTGTTGACTTTTGCTCTTTCCTGTTTGAGCTTTATCAGTGCGTATTGCACTCGAAGAGATAGCAAAAGAAATGAGTAATTAATGTAGTCGTCCATCTCAGGTAGGTATGTTATATAAAATAAACACTGCATATGCAGGATTAGACCTTAAAATAGTTGCGTAGTAGCACTACCGAGTGGAATATAAATTCATTACAATTCACATTTATCTCTGTCAGCTTGAGGGAGACTCGTAAACACTTTTGATGAAATCGCAGAAACAAGAGGCGGTCCTTAACCACACCCACTTCTGTTAAAGCAGGATGAAGGAGGAAAGGAGATGGCATTATTCGTCGTTTTCATGGTATTGCAGAGTTTTGTGTCACGATCACGATATATCTAAGTAGGTTTCGTTCCAAAAAACTAATCTGCGCGGCGTCAGGATTATTTAAAAATGGTTTGTAAGAATATACTGAGCTGAATGAAAAGGGATAGCATTTTTGTAATAAATTCCCGATTTGACTGTTATAAATCCTATAGATAGAGAAATTTTACCCACGTCCCCTTTTGATTGAGTTGAAATTATGTATTAATGAAATTGCAATATCATGGAATGGAGCTGGGGAGCGATCATCTAACTCTCTAGCTTTGATTCTAGTCATAGAATACGACATCTTAGCCATTTTATGACGTTTTTTCGTTTCACGTTACTACTTTGATATATCTTCTGGTGGATAAATTTGGGATAAATATCTAAGTTGGTAACACTGCTATCAAATCCACAATCATCATTCTTTAGTTCGCTCCTCGTTACGAAAGTACATGGTCAAAGTAGTAAAATGAACCGAAATATCGATACGACATCGACAAGGTGTCGTATCTACGGCTAGAGAGCAATGCGGTCGCTCTGCTGGCCTGACGATGGACCGGAAGAAGCCATGGCTCCTTTATAATAAAATCATTATGATTATTGCACAGCCAAACGAAAAACTATCTTCAATTATATTTTTAATCATTTGTTTTGATTTTGTCCTTACCCTTGGTCTTTATCCGTCTTTGATGAACATAAAGCACACGAATTCTATTTCGAATATGTTTTATTTACCAAAAACAATAGTTATTCAAATACTATGTATACTGGTATATGTAAATACAAAAACAAGAAATAATCTGTACAAAAGTATGCCCCGGGTGAGGATCGAACTCACGACCTTAAGATTATGAGACTTACGCGCTGCCTACTGCGCCACCGAGGCGAATAAGTATTCTGTCTAAATTAACAATAACATCCTTTGTCTAAATAAAACAGGTTATTAGTGACATGTGACGTTCGTATATTATCATTAAAACAAATTTCTTACTAAACAACAAAGGTTTTATTAAAATAAAGAATGTAAAAACAAACATAACCTTTAATCCACTAAAAGTGGAAAATAAGAATTTCATAAAATTTCAGATTTTAAATTCAACTAACGAATTTATATTTTAATTTCACGGTAAGAAAAATAATTAAAATAAAAATAACAATAAAACATGTTTGTTGTGCGGGTAAACAAAATCATAAATCTTAATATCAAAGAATATTTAAAATAAATATCAATGGTAACTTCAATAAATTTACAAATTTACTGTGCGTTGCCTAAACGTTCATTAAAGTTTTCATTACTTTAAGGGGTCATTACTGACAATCTTTAAAGAACATGCATTAGAGTTCAAAATTGTCATTAAACCTTAATGAACGGCGCTTATGATTTATATATAAAGATGGTCTTAAAGAAGATCTTATTACTAAAACTAAATAAATAAAAAAACAAAAGTAAAGCAATTATTGACAAAAAAGTGACTTCTGTCTGCAAGGTAAATACTGATAATTCTAATATATCTGATTAGGGAAAGTAAAAAATAAGATTAATTTATTCAACATACAATATGTTGGTCGCTTGCAAAAAAATTGCTGCCATAAAGATTAATTCCTGTGCTATATTTGTAATATTTCATTTACTATTATATTTTGTAATAAAAAAAGGAATAATTTGTAGCAAACAACAATTGGAGGATTAAGAAGGGTTTGTAATATATTATTTCAAAAAAATATATATTATTATTCTTGTTGTCATATAATCACTATCTTCTATTGATATTACAGCTGGATTTTTATACTTCGTTTTGTCATTATATTAATTTGAGAGAGATTCGTAAATATTAGTTTTGACAAACATAAATGTTCGTATCCCTGCGTTGGAATAGTGACGTAATAAAATTTGGAAAGGAAAAGGTTAACTATTGTCCATAATTTACTTTGAATACACGTAGACGAAGTCGCAGGTATAAACTTGTTTATATAGCCTAAATGTTTCTTAATAAAAAGTAATTACTTACTATTTTTACGAACGTTATTTTTAAGTTACTTATTTAAAAACTTGCATTTTCAATTAAATATAAAAATCTCCGACTTTCTTATATTTATATTTGTTTATATAAGTTGACTAGAAATACCGATGTATTTTAATGTAACTAACATAAAATATTTTTATAATTTCTCATAGTTTTATATAAAAAAAAAATACACTTCAAAAACACGATTCGAGGGCTAACTCAGTAGACGCTGTATACGAAAAATGAACCTTATTTATTATTTCTTTCGTCATTCTTCTCCTTGTAGCTGCTTTGTCCATTCTTTCCATCCTCCTTGCCATTCTGTGACGGAGCGATAATCAACAGATTATTCCCATTTCTATCAGCCAAATTCCTAAACGGCAAATTCTGCCTCCATCTTGACGAGAAGTAATACTGGTTCCTCAGCACTCTCAAATGGTCATTGCTGAAGTAAATTTCTGATCGATATCCGATGTGTCTCTGGAATATACCAGAATTTTCATTTTCCTCGTTGCCGTACTTCTGGTAATCAGTATCGTTGCACATCTTTGTTTTGGGACAATCGTCTTCATTGTAATACGGTCTCTTGAGTCTGAGTCTTCTGGACTGCGGACTAAGAGGTGATTCGCATTTTATAGTCAGGTCTGCTGTATTCTCTTTATTCATCGATAGCCCGTGATTTTTTTGCCATTCTAGCACTTCACACAGAAGACCTATGTACCTGTAAAGAATACACCTATGAAATAACAAGATGATTAAACGAACTCACTAAACGAAGTTCTATAAAAAAAAATGTATTATTTGTAGCGATTTAGATACAATATTTAGATAAATACGAGTATGTATGGACACTTAGTTTTGTGGAGATTTATTTAGTAAAGATGATATTATTAGTTTGGTAGGTAAAGTGTGCTTCATAAAAACAATGTTCATATTACTCATTAGTTATCCATCTCTTGAATTAAGGAACTAAAATAGCTTGAAATAGTATGATGAGATAAAAAAAAATTGACAACATCACATACATTGCTCAGATACCAAGGTGATTAGCTAAAGCCAGAGCAGTTGCCCGAATTGCAGAGTGCCAAGGATAAAGTGGATTTTAAGCATTTTTCATGAAGAATATTGTAAGCTGGGGATCTCCCCATCAAAAAAGTCAATCATACCTAAAAAGAATTGATTTTATGTCATGTAACCTTAACCCCATTATACTAATACTGATTTGATTACAAAAGTTGTATTGAAATCAAATCATTATAAATAAAAGTTGTAAAAGTCTATCCAAACTATGTAAAACAATGAGAATGAGCATGTTACCTTATTGCCATCCTGAGTATTTCGTTCTTAGAAAGTTTCTTATCAGGTGGATGTGTGGGCACCAGCCGTCTCAGTTCAGCGAACGCTCCGCTCACGTTCTGCTGTCTCCAGCGCTCCCTACAGTTCGTGAACAGCTTGCGAGGTGGACGCAGAACGCACGAGTTGAGTGACGGCACTTCGTCCGACAGGCTCTACGTAATAAATTGTGAATTTAAATTCAGTCTTATTATAAAATGAAGGCTAACTTTAACAACCAAAACAAACACGTTTTATGTTCTATCACTAACTAAACAAACACGTCTCAATTTAACTTTTTCTGTTCTATCATTGGCAATTTAATTCAAGTTTATGATTTAAGTTAGGGAATAAACTAGAGGTTATACAAAATTTGCTGCAATTTGTATGATCCTGTTAATTGATAAGTTGAGGAAAAATAACGCTTAAGGTGAAGTCAGCTAAAACAGCTAGTCAGCTATATACTTAAAGAGTATAACCCGTCACCTGTACACTTCTTGGGATGTGTCTCTCATCATCACTGTCGGGCAGGCACAGGTCATCACTCAACATCTCACTGTCAGGCTCCTCGTCAGAACATGACTCCTGATCCGATGCCATCGGTGCTGGGTATACTGTGAGAGAGAAGTCTAAGGTTATATTTAGTTTAGTTGTGTTTATACGGTTCTTCAAGGGAGAGGTTATTGGTCGATTCATTCCAGGGATTTGTTATAATGGTCACAAACCCTATCAAACTTCAGCTGCAGCCAATTGAGCAAAGAAAAGTAGCCAAATACACAGAAATAATTAACACTTAATATTTTTAACATTTCCCCCCCAATTTATAAAATAATCCAAATTAAAAACATTGCTCAAATTCCAAGATGACAAGCTAATGTCGGTATTATCTTAGTAGTATTAATCATGGTAAAAAAGTTTTTTAGAATTTGAAATACATTTTTATATTATCCATTCTTTGTTTACACAAAAGACTATTGAGCTAAAAAGTACAGGTGAAATTATTTATTATAGTAAAAGCAAGTAATAAGTTCCGTACAATAAAAAGAAAAGAGAAACCTGTCTTGTAATTTCTTCTAAAATCATTATATCTCAAAATAATATTGAAGCCATTATTAAATTATGATGTTACCATTATAAGATCATTGGTTCTTTTTTCTTTATTTATAATGTATTGATCTGGTAATGACATGGTTTCGTGAATGTCGTTACTCCCATTAGAGTCTATTTGTATAAAGATCATTTTCTTTGACTTTTGATAAAAAAAAGGCTCTTCTAGATACACAAACCGGATGAGTCATTTATTACTTTTTATTAAGTAAATTGTATTGGAGTTTCATATAAAATCGCACTATTTATAAAATTATTATGAATTGAATAAAAATAGTTTACGACACGTAAAATTAGTGCATTTATATGAAGCACAGGATGTTCCTATCAGCGGATGTGATATATTTACCGTCGTGTTTGCCAACAATAGCTCCATTCTTAATATATTTTAATTAATTCATTCGTTTATTTAATTAAAGAAGTGTTTAAACATCATGTTTTACGACTTATTGGTTTTATATTTTTATAGTAATTTAGTTTTTACTGTGACTGCAATAGCTTGGTATAGAGTATTATAATTATGGATAAGTAACTGTTCCAAATATATAAAGAAGACATTATCTAAGTGAGGAAGTAACTTGACGGCGCAATCTTTAGATAGACCTTTAGGTGTGCAATGTGAAGATTAATTAACAGAAAAATTAAATCTCGATCTCCCCGTGCTTGAGAAGACATGTCAAGCATTGGTCTCGGCTGCATCTGCTGTCGTTTACACCCACCAATCTGCACTGGGTCCGCGTGATAGGTTATAATCCGTTTTCCATGTTTAACTCAATTTCATCTATAGGAAACAGTGTTGATGATGGTGACCAAAAAGTAAATTGCAAGACACGCTTTATTATACGACGACCTCTGTAGCCGAGTGGTTCGCACGCCGTTTACAAAGCGTTGCCATCTCTGACACCCGGGATCGATTCCCGATCCGACCAATGTACTAAATTAAATTTTGTATATTGACTCTGGTCTGGGTGTTGTGTTACCTTCGTTGTCTCAGATACTCCATAATACAAGGGCTTTAGCTATTCATCTTGGAATCTGAGGAATATACGTGATGTTGTCTAATATTTATTTATTTTTTATAGCTGTTGCATGTTTCATGTTTTACTTACAAGCAATAAAACATTCGTTTGCATAGCATTTAACCCACTGAATCCACATACAATGGTATTACTGTAACTGAAACAATGGCATTAAAACAAAGTTAATATTGAAGTGAAATTTCTTGGGCGCATTCTTCTTATCAGGTGGCTAAAAAACATTAGACTATTCAAAAGTGTTTTTAATGAGCTTATTCGAATAAATACTATTTAATATTTAAGTAAATCTAAAAAGAAGATTCTTGCAGCGGCTGAAAAGTTTTCACCATGTTTTATTCTATAAACTCGACTCAAGGCGGCGATGTTATCTACAAAGGCAGTATTTTAAACTCCATTCGGTTATTTAAATGACAAAACAAGTATACTAATTGTTCAATCATCGAAGCTGTCACAAAGAAGATATACAAGTCATAACTTTAAAACAAATTAGAATAGTAAGTAATATTTTTTCACAGATATAGACTTTATAGCAACTCGGACATCAACACCTCTGATATAGTTTACGAACTTATCGTGTAAGATAATACTACCAGTTAGATTTTGTAAATACTTCGTAATTACTTGCACAAACATAGATATAAATCTAAGTAACAATTACCTCATGGAACTTATGTATATAGTGACTGCGTCTTGTCTAGAACAAGGAATATTTCCAGATATATGCATTTTACCAATCTTATCTAAAGTCTTGGAAACTATAATTAAAACAAGACTTTTGGAGTATTTTGAAGACAATAACTTGTTTACTGGTGCACAATTTGGTTTTCGAAAAAATAGATCGACAGAAATGGTTATTCGCAGGGTCATATACTTCATATTGGAATCACTCGATTCGTCACAAAAGTGTGCCAGTATTTATTGCGATCTGTCTAAAGCATTTGACTGCTTAAGACATGACATCTTATTAACAAAACTAAAATTCTATGGATTACTAGGAAAAGAACTAAAAATTATTGAAAGCTATCTAACAAACCGTAGCCAAGTTGTCTCAGTTGATAATTACAACTCAAGCATATGCAAAATAGATGTAGGAGTACCTCAAGGCTCTATTTTGGGTCCAGTATTATTCTTAATATACATAAATGATCTTGCTAGTGCTGTGCCAAATTGGTCTCACATTAGTTTATTTGCGGATGACACTCACGTAGGTATAAGAGACAAATCTGAAGAATACTTAGGATATAAAATTAATTACGCGATGGCTATTCTTAAGGATTGGTTCAAAGCAAACGGAATTATGATGAATACTAACAAGAGTATCGTAATGAAGTATTGTGCTAAAAAAAATAAAAATCAAGTAACAACAACGGAAAACAAATTTCTAGGCTATACAGTAGACTACACAATCTGTCATTCAAACCATATTACAGATATTTGCAAAAGAATAGCCAGTGCAAATTATGCTTTAATGAAACTGAAGCCATTAGTAGACAAACGCACACTCATTACAGTATATTATGCATATATTCACTCAATTATAAGATATGCAATCACAGTATGGGGAAATGCTGCTGAAATACAGAGTGTGCTCAAACAACAAAACAAGGGCAATAAGAACTATAAATAGCGTAAGTAGGCGTACATCAGCGAGAGCCTATTTTAAGAAAGACAGAATAATGACCGTTGTTTCCTCATATATATATATATATATAATAGCTTGTTGGAAATCCATGTAGAGAAGGAAAATTTTGCAAGAAAAGGTGATTCTCATGGATATAATCTACGTAATAATGAAAAGTTACGTCATCCAAAGGTAAAACTAAAAAAAGTTCAAAAACAGGGTATTTATCTAAAAATAATAATGTATAACAAATTACCTTTAAGTATTACACAAGTATTAAGTATTACAAACAAAAACCACAGTAGCTTTAAAAGTATTCTGAAATCTTTTTTTGAGCAAAATCCTCTCTATTCCTTGAATGAATTTTTGACGATGCGTATAAGCGAATCTACTTTTATGACATGATGTAATTAGATACTGTAAGTTTTTTTTTCTCTTGAGATTAAGATTTAATTGAACTATGAATTGTGAACTGACATACCTTGTATAACAATATTGTTATAAATGGCTAATAAATAAATTGAAATTGAAATTGAAATTGAAATTTTACATTGTATACTGTTCGGGTAGATGCGCGCGCGCCGACGGCCAACTCAGACGTCATTGTCACTTCCTCGTCAGAATAAAATATTTTGTACAAATCATGCGTGCCTCTATACCAAGGGCGAAATAGTAACTCATTAATGTTATAATCAATTCAATTATCTAAATAAACGAATTAAGAAAATATACAATTCAATGCTATTGACAGAAGAAAACTTATAAGAGACTTTCATGATATGTAAGACTTCATTCACCGTTTGAACTGTTGAAAATCCAGACCCGATTTCGAATTATCTCATGTGTCCAAATTAAAGTCAATGAATGTAGAAATTCTATTGAATCCATTTTTTCTATAAAAATACAAAACAAAATTGATTGAATACACGTGTCTCAGATATTCAATTCCTATGTCATTTAGAAACTCACTTCACTTATGCCACGAAACGTTTTTACCAATTCGAGGTTGAGCGGATGCCGCTTTTTGAAGTGAATTCGAATTCGGTTTTGGATTTTGACAGAATTATAGGACAGGTCAGGTGAATTAATGGGAATGATAGTTCTTTTCAATGTAAGTGATTTAGGTTGTTACTGCCACATAGTGACCACGAACGCTCTGTCAAAGGCGACGTGCCAAAGAAAAAGATTTAGATAACTAAATTCGACGGCCGCACCGAATAAACGCGTAAGTGCTGTTACACATTTTTTTAATAATACCTTCACATCACCTCAAATTGTTTTGTGCCTTTTACGTAAACATTTTCAAAATTTTATGAACATAAACGTTTGTTGTAGGGAATTATCGATTTGATTCGTAGTTTGAATATTAATATAACACAATAATACCACTCACAAGCATCCTAGTTAGAACACGAATAAGCGTGTGTAATTTCATACTCAACTATTTTACGGGTTCAAAATTGCAATGTGCTCTTGAAAGTTTATTCGTGTGAAAGTGTAAACCACCTTAGAGTATAAAGTTCCTTGGAGAATTTGCAAACTTAAACCATATGGTATATTGACATATTGTACTAAATAGATTAAGCAACTATTTTCGTAATGTATTATACACGGATATTCTTCGTTTTCATAAATGAATCACATTTCGTTAAGGAACATAATATTCTTAAAGCATAGTTTTATACAAAGTATAACTATTTGATGTTAAGAGAGTGCATGTTACTTTATGAATACCGATATTGAGAAAAATTAAAGAATCATTAACTACAGCGTCTCGGTATAGAAGAATGTTCGAACTAGTTTAGTAATAAGGATAAGTAAAAAGAATTAGTATTGTACTTACAATAATATTGTGTTTTGCTTAACCTTATTCAAACCGTGGAAAATACACTAGCAGGGTAATTTTTCAAATAATATTACAAATTTCAATTTCGTTTACATGGACCAAACTTTTGAGTGAATTCGAAAATATTTATGAATAATTATACACGTTAACATAAACTCCTGTTACTAGATGTACGATAACTTAAAAATAACAGGGCACCGAGTAAGGACGGATTCATAGCTGAGTTTCTGAATGTCGGTCGAACGCCGATGCTTAAAATCCTTCATAGGATATTCAACTCGAAAAAGCACCATATTTCACATACAGAACGCCAAATAATCCAAAAAATCGAGGAGTACAAACTACACAAGAGAAAAGATTTCACTCCGCGGTGCCATATTAACTATCATTACACTGAAACGTTGAAGTGTTTATATGAAAACGCCACAATGTCAGTTCACCTCCAAATCGAAATTAGATAAACTGCGGAATTTAATAAAAAATATATATATTGTTTTCACAACTTATTGAGATTCCTATGATAAAGTCTATGTTAAAAATGGAAATGCAACAAATAAACTAAGCCACGCTTCTGCCTAAACTCATATTTTTAAGTATAAACACGAACTGACATATGAAACTCAAGTCACATCGAAGAATCACCCATTAGTTGTGATTTGTGTGGTTATCGGAAAACCAAAGACGAATTTTCTGTTTCATTCGCAAAGTTACTGATTCCGATTATTCGTTATCCTGATATAGTTATTTAAGATACGAGTGCGGAAAGTCGTGCCAATTTGGCCCTTATTCGTAAAACTTTTTACGCTCAAGTTTCTTACAAAATCTTTCAATGCTTTTTGCGAGGAAATAAAACAAATATATAGGTTAATAAAACTAAGTATGTATTAAAGGTAAAAATTATTTGTTAAAATTAAACGTGATATTTGAACTCGTTTTCGTGTCATACATTTTTATTTGAAAATATTCGTTCTAGGCTCCTTGAAATACTTTTGCCTCTAAAGTTTGACATATTTTCACCAATTTTTTTTTTTAATTTCTTTAGTGCTCGGCCAAAAAAAAAAATCAAAAAATTACTTTTAAGCACGTGTGCAGTAAAGGATTTCAGTACATTTTTATTTAACACGTGTTTAAAGACTCACTTTCGGTGTTTACAATGGATTAAAAAAATAGCGCTTTATGAGCAACAGCATTGAAAAATGTATTAGGTGATTGGAAGAATGACCATAACTTTTTAAAAAGCCATAAACCATTGTAACTTAAAATTGTTGAACGTTGGGAAAAAGTTGTATTGGCGCTTGCTTCACTAAATAGTATAAAACAAAGTTGCTTTCTCTGTCCCTATATCCATAGGTATGCTTAAATCTTTAAAACTACACAACGGATTTTGATGCGGTTTTTTTTCATAGATAGGGTGATTCAAAAGGAAGGTTTTTATGTAATATATGAGACCACGCGGACGAAGCCGCTGGCGGAAAGCTAGTTTCAAATAAAATATAACAAATCAAGAAGTATATTTTGTTTTATTTCAATTATACACTTAATTATCTCAAGCAAATTGAGGGGGGGGGAGGTTCAACAAATTTAATCCAACAGTGTACACGAGATCATTTTGATAATAAAAATTTTGGCAACACATACCTACTTGTAATAGTAAAAATGTAGGTAAAATAGTAACAAAAATACCGAATACTGGTAGCCATTCCTTCTCAAATCATTTCTTATTTAGGACAATATGTCCAACAAACCTTGCAAATTCGCATGGATTACTTCAAATCATATTTTTATTCAAAAAATATTGGAGAATATAAATAAATTAGATAATATAAATAAGCCGATAAATTGTGAAATTAATGAATGAATTGTTTGAAAATTTTCAAGACACTGTCTCTCGAAGAAACTTAGTTTTTAAAATAACCCTGTTATATTTTATTGTATTATTAATAAAAAAAAAGGCTCGCTCACCGTTCTTACCCGAAATATCCGAAACGGTTGGCATAAATCCGCACTTAATTGAATTCACATAAAATACAATGAAAAAGATACACTTTTTCTTTAATATGCTGTCGAGATGCGTCTTCTATCGCATAACGTTTACGACTGAATAAAAAAAATTGCAATATTTAAATTTGGAAGGGGGTCGAATGTCACCTCGTGATTGGTTACATGCGAGAATGCATTCAGCCAATCGGAGTATCGGACTCAGGAGGGCGGAGACGCAAAGGTTCCCCGAGGGGTTTCGTTTTCCATTTGTTTTTCCATAAACAAGAACCGCTTCTATAGTGGTAGTGTGTTTATTCTCTTAATAATTGTTTTAATTCACTATGGCTATATGGAAATAGAATAGCTTTTTATGTAAACAAAATAACTTTACAGCTTTATTGCTTTACTATTGAAAATCATGTCTTTTTTTTAAATATCTCGAGTAGAGTTAAAAAGAAAACCAACAGAGAGCGACGCAAACTTGCGAAAAGGGAGTTCCGCGCAGATATTGCTTTTATTTTTTTTTACGATGACAGACGGTCAATTAAAATATCATCATCGCACTGTGGCTTTCAGAGGTAGTTTTCGATTTCAGGCAACCAAGTGCTGGAATGATCTGCCACCCCCGTTGAGAAACCTCATTTCAATAAATACTTTCAAAAAAAATGTAAAAACCTATTTACTCGATCTTCAGAATATATGTTTAGTGAGGTGACTGAAAGATTGATTTTTCCTGAAAGCAAACACTATAATCTTAATTTTAATTTATATTTTTGACATTGACACAATTGACATTCTAAATTTATTTCATCGTATTATAATCTCATGTATATATTTAAATCTATTTAATATTAATTTGTTACTAACTTGACCTCTGTGTTATCTAATTTATCATTATTTATCTTACATTACATTAATAATATTTCTATCTAATATATTTTGGACGTTTTTGAATTCTTCTTATTAATATGACATTGACAGTAATCTGCCCCGCTCACTCTGGACTGGGTGATGGCTGAAAATCGGTGCTTCGCCCATTCTTGGGTGATTTACGTGCACCGAGCCTTGACCCTTATCTTACTGCTGCGCACAGGTATATCACTTATATCATTACGTGTTCTGTTCTCAAATGTTATTTGTATTGTACAAGTTGTGATGTAGTTGTGTGTTGTTGTATGAATAAACTATTTATCTATCTATCCCTTCCTATAAGGGTTCCGTTTGTATTTTTTTGTATGAAACCCTTTGAAAATTGTCAATACAAGTTGGTCTTGAAAGGAAGAGTTCTGTTCCATCAATAATAATACTTAATTCCAAACCTTTTATGGATTGGCCTTATATAGTTTGTGTATCTGTCTCCCAAGAAGAATGGACTGCTGTGTCCAAACATTTTGCTTTAGTACATACCTACCTAAATAAGTACCGTTATAATCGGAGTACTGTCATGTGTACAATGAGCAAATGTCTTCAAAATTATCTATTTCACAAATATAATACAATAATTTTAAAATACGCTGGACAACGCTGATGTCTGCTATTCTGACACCAATCAGATTCTCCTTGATAAATTGGATCGTTTGCTCAACAGTGGTATAAGGTTCATCTTTGGATTACGTAAGTTCGACCATAATTCTCAGCATAGAAACCAACTCGAATGGTTGCCTATTCGTAAGCGCAGGAATCTTAGAGTTGTTTCCACTCTTTACACATCCTATACGATCCACGTACTCCGAGATATCTAAAATCAAGATTCCAGTTTTTGGGTACTTGTCATCAGCGAGAACTTCGCTCTAGTAGTAATATTACTCTTCAAACCCCTGTTCATCAAACCAGCTTTATGTCAAACTCTTTTACTGTGACTTCTACTCGCCTCCGGAATGCTCTGCCAGAAGACATTCGGAAGGCCAAAAGCAAAAGTGTTTTCAAAAGACTAGCGCATGAACACTACTTAAATAGTCCTTAGTTTTCCATGAATCCGATATTATGTAGTATATATGCTATATGTAGTATATATGTTATTGTATATATTTACAATATACGTATATATCAATATTTATTTATGCATAAATCTATTTATTTATTATTTTAGGTATAACTGTTTTTTTTGTTTATTACTTCTACTTTCTTTATCGCCATACATCTTGCCCTACTTTCTGTCTGGTAGACTGGTAGAGAATGCCCTTGGCATTAAGTCCGCCGATTGCTATTCCATGCAATAAAGATTAAATAAATAAAATATATATTCAAATGTCAAATTTTTTTTATATAAGATTTATACGTATACGTTTATAGCGCCGCTTTGTTAGATTTTACAAGTTTTAGTCTAAACTAACTTTCTTAACATTCACTGGAATTAAAAAAATGGTAAAGCATTAGCATTGTGGCAAAATTTTTACTAGTTTTAATTTATTTTGCAAATTCTAATTCGTAAAATTCATTAGAGAACTTCGGTCTGTCGTAATCTGTCGTGCTTTTATAAAGTACTACAAACAAACAAATAAACTCTTCAGCTTTATTATTAGTACCTGCAGATGCAATATCTTAAAATAGCTTTTCTTTCTACGTGCATGTCAAACACTATGAAGCTAAATTCTAAAAATTCTCCTTTTAAAGTAAATCTCCCTATATATAAAATGCTATTGAAAAAAAGTTCTGTGCTCTGGTAATACGTATAAGTAATTAATATTTTTTATTTCGAAACTTTTATAATTGTTACAAATTAACAATTAATTAACAATGTATACCAACTCAAATGTTAGACGTTCAAGCCATATTAACATTAAAAGATAAATAGAATACGATACGATAGTAAACTCCCAGTACATTAGAGCGATAGGTCGAAAACGCGCGCGTTTTACTTTAAAAATACCGAGAAACTCGGACGCAACAATATAAACTTTATTGCGCCGTAATAAAACGTGAAATCGCCTTCCAAACCATTTTGATGTCAAAAATAATTGTGATATAAACCAAAAAGCAAAACTGTGATTCGTAATTACTTTTGTAAAAACGTGATTTTAAGAAAACTGTGTGTCATTTGAATTTTCTATCTGTGCCCTATTGTTTAAGCGACTGCATCAAGCGGTAGGTTTGAAAATAGAATTATTTATTGTTACATTATTCTCTGTTCCATTTTCAAACTATGTTCAAGTGTAGAGTTGTAAGTCATCCTCAAACTTCGAGGTTCCTGTTTGTAAAAAGTTTTAGTGCATTTGAATTTTGTCTATGGAATTTATTCAGTGCTATATTAAGAAGTCCCACATTGTTATCTTTTGTTGTTTCCCGTTTGTCTAGCCACAAACACATTGAATATTAATTAGGTTATATTGACGTGATTAACATAATTTTAAAGATTACCAGTTCTTGTTTAAAGATAAGATAATAGCCGTAAAGATCCTTTAACCAACTGTGTAAATAAAGGTCAATATTTTAAAGGGTAATGTTTTTTCTTAGGGTATTAAGTTTTTGTTATTTAAAAAACATTATTGAAGTTTGTTGTTATAAGTATATATTACCTATTACTTTAGAACATTTTTGTCTAAAATATCAATAATCTAAAATACCATAAAAAGACGACCTCTCTAGCCGAGTGGTTCGCACGCCCGTTGTTTCAAGATGTCGCCATCGCTAAGGTCCCGGCTTCGAACCCGATCGGGTCAAAGTAGAAAATTAAATTTTCTATATTGTCTCAGGTCTGGGTGTTATGGTACATTATGGGGTAAACCTAATTGAAAATAAAATTGTATACTCGAAAAACTCCGATTTATCTGCCATTCTCATAGCTCGGTTACACTTTTTAAAGCTTTTTTAAAAAAACAATCAGCAAGCCCTATACAATTGGGTCGATTCGTTTCGGAAATTTACAAAGTTTCACCGTGTCCTAGACGCATAAAAATAAACGCCTTGCTCAATTTAAAACATAAACCATTCGAATATATAAATACAAATTGTTTGAACCTATATCGATGTATTAGTTTTGTAATGCAGCATCTTTTACCATAATAAAACAAGTAACATACCAACCAGCACGAAAGTAAACTCGAATACGGATCTCCGACTTGTATAAAGTTTTTTAAATATATTAACAGTCTTGTTTAGTTTCCACTCTTTAAAACTTTTTAGTGTATTTTTTTTTATAGTTAAACTTTGATGAATTTATTGTAAACTTCATTGATTCATTGACAAGTTGTATTGCGGCTGCATGCCTAAGTAGCTTATATATTTTTATTTTATTTTTGGAAAACTATTTCCCAATCGACGAATACACTAATTGAACATAGTACATCGAGTGTCTGTCAATATTGACGTTAACATTACGATAACACGACCCAGACAGACTTGTCAGCAAATGTAAGTCATACATATACCTACTACTATTAAAATACTTTATTAAATTTTAACATCAGTGGTGTTATCTTTCGCTCACTTTTTTTTTAACACAATTAATTAATTAAATAATGGTCTGTGGTTAGACTCAATATGATTATGTTTAAATCATTGTTAATATAAAATTATTTCTTATTTAACGTATTAAGATCGTCAACGTGTTGTTTTTGGTAAATCTATGTAGAAAGATAGAATTGGTAATTCAAAATTGTTTTGTTGAATGAATGTATTTTAATCGTGTAATGGTAATGAAGTTGGCAGTATTATGGTGACGCAAAGTGCCATTAAAGTTAAGAAGAAGAAGAAAATATACTTTACTTAAGTTCTATTAACATGGTAATAATTGTCATGGATTATAGTTTTATATATTTTCCATAATTACGCTAACATTGGAAGAATTGCCCTACAGACTTTAAAACATGCTATTGCGATTCAAATAATATTTTATTTTTGGAAAAGCAGAATCAGCCCCTCGGCTCATAAGTTAAAAAAACTTTCTAGCTATTAACAAAATTAAATTAATTTCAACCGTACGAAGTTTGGATGTTTGCACAAGATTTACTCATAAAATTTGTTAAGGAATGTTAATAACGGTCATATAATTAAATATTACTTTATAAAGAATAAAAAACTAGTCATATCTATACTGGAGTGTAAAAGTGTAAAGTCACGTAAAGAAACAGTCTGCGATTTAGTTTTGAACCTCCGGAAAATAGAATACAACAAAAGAAATGTATGAAATGTGAGTCCGATTAGTGAATTATTTAAAACACTCGAACGCCACGTCCTTCGTCCAATGAGGCGTTAATATTTAAAAAAAGTTCATGCTACGAAGACACTAACTCATTGTTCACATTTATAGATGGATCGGTTAAAAAAAATCGATTTAATGCATATTTAATGAATATATATGCATTAAATAATAAATCTATACTCATATCGGACTACTAAATTAATTTAGTTCCGTATCTGCTATCTATCCTTTTCTTAAAAAAACATCTACAAATACATTCAATTTGTTGGTTCACTATTTCTTATTCAGATGTTAAGCGTACATTGCAATGTGTTCTATAATGCTTGTAGTATTTACATCAATAAATAGATTACTATACAACTGCAGCTTATCACAGAACTATCGATCAACAAATTGATATGTGCCGGCTTCTCTAGCGGTCGTTACGACCGTCTATAGTTATAATCGTTACAAGACGTCTTATATGTAATACCAGGGACAAAGGATACTAAAAAAAGTACACGGTAACTTTACCTATCGAAATTTTTATATAATTTTTCCAATTCCAAAAAAAATTATTTTGTCAAACTGTATTTTAAACTATGTATACCACTAATACGTCAGATGTTTCATTGTAGTATACAGAAGTCTAAACTATATATTTTTTTAATATTACATGTAACAACATATTAACGTTGGGCTAAACTAAAGAAACGGACCAAATTAAATATACTCTTTTTTTTAAGTTTAAAGATCGCTTTTATTTTCAAAATATCCTTTTGTAGTAATCAGAATACAAGTTATTTTGTCATAGTTGTCTGCACTATCTTGCCTTACATCTTGAATCTCTTAAAAGTATATCAATTTTAATAGTTAATTTTGATATTGAGTGTACCTACCTCACGCACATTTGACGTGTTCGGTGTCAATGGTCTGTAATCTCTCCGTGTACTGACGATGCATGTCCACAATCTTAAAAACTTATATCATTTTTATCAAAAGTCATTTCTAACGTGAAATTCTGAGAAGTAACTTGAATAATTTTTCACAACTTCTGTAATTAAAACGTTGAAATGCTATGAAATCAATACTTCTCAATTATAAGGTAATGAATTGTGTTATATTATAGAAATCTTAATATCGTAAGAAAACCTTCAGTGTCAAGTTGGTCAATTGTCTAAGATAGGACTCGTGGTAAGCTTTCACAATCCTACTCTGATGATAATAATCTTTATTTTAAACCATAGAAACTAAGTAAATATAAAAATGCATTATGTAGTAACACAAATGGCGACTTTATCGCTGAAAAGCGATTTCTTCCAGCCCCTTATGAAAATTAAGTAAAGAAATTTGGGCTTCCAAATTGTATTATCCGGAACCTAAGGAATTTACCAAGTACTTGTTAAGTTAATTATTGATAAAAAACGATTTATTTATTGTCAAAAGAAACACACATTTTACATTTCTAAACAACATTATTATATTTTACATACCTTGTTTTCAATTACTTTATGAAAGCAAAATGCTATATATGACTTATTAACAAAAGTAACGCAACTTTCATCATTATTCAGCCCATTTCCATCAATACTTAGGCAAGGCAATAAGAAGCTAATCACTAATCAGCTTTAAAATTTTCTTGTTTCTTTTGATGCAGTCTGTTTAAAGTCAGTTTAAAATACTTGCGATAAAATCATTCAAAACTTGTTCGTTTTGAGTTTTCTTTAAACGCTTTTCAATATTTCATCGGAAACTATAGGTGCTATAGGTGCATATTATGAAATATAATACGGTATTTATTCAGCACCAGGCGCAATTACACGTTGAACCCAATTTGTACTACTTATTTCAACTATCACCGTCACGGTAAGCTTCTCTGAGGAATTAATCCACCCATTTTTGATATTTTATTGTCTTTAGAGATAAAAATAAATAAAAATAATTCTTCATTATAGCCATCCGCTCTTATCAGTGGAGTATACCCCATACATTCTCTACCGTTTTCTTTACAAAATGTTGCCTTTATCTTTATTTCGTAGTACGACACTATTCTTACTTTTCGTATTACGACACTATTTTTTCTTTCACTTGTTATATATAATTTATCCTTCATATCCCTCATTTTTTGCAGAATAGTTTGGAAGAAATTCTTCGTGTAATATAGTGCCCCAACGTTCTTGCCCCTCTGTTTTCTATAAGTTTAAATCGCATTCCATTCTGTTATAAAGCAGTCTTGAACTCGAAGTTAAGTACAGCTCTGTGACATCGCGCTTCAATGGAATAAAAAACACTATTACCCTTTAAAGAAGTTTTATTTCATGGAACTTCAAATGTATGCTACCACTGCGCTCGATTTTTAATCATATTCGGTTCTGCATGCTTACTCTTGCCCACTTACTTTCGAACGCAATCGCGATCGATCGATAATGCAATTGTGCCGTTCCTCACTCTTTATTAGTTGACTAGCATACTCTGGCGCTAGTGTACCCAATTAAGAATACGAAACGGCACAATTGCAATCTCGATCGGTCGCGATTGCGTTCGAGAGTCAATTTCAATCCAATCCAATCTAATGACGGTCTCAATTTTCATCAAATCTTAGTTTTGTGCTCTTGAAACACGCAAAATTTAATCAATTGGCGCTAGTTGACCAAATTAAGAGTACTAAACGGCCCGATGCAATGTCGATCGATTACGTTCAAGAGTATGCACGCTGTTCAGCTAACCCTTTCCGTCGTTCATCAAGGTTTTAAAGAAAATATTAGATAAAAATATTGAATATGATGCGTTGTCACAGATTACCTAACTCAAGCAAGAGTAACACTTTATCAGTGTTGATAAATGTCTCATTCTATTACAACTGATAATTTATCTTTCAATGTGAAGTGTTTATGACAATTAACCGCTGTTCTTACTGGACAATGCACTATTATTTTTGTTATAAACAACGGTGGAATTATTGTTTTTAACCGTGTTTAAAAAAAGAGAGAGTTCCCAATTTTATTGAACGATATTTATCTTAGAAAGAAAAATTAAGAAGCAACATATTATATAAAGGACATATGATACGGAGAGATGATTTTCATGTAATAAACAGGTTTATAAGCACGAATCAATATAGACTGTGTGAAAGTTGATATCTATGAATAAGAAAAGAGTATTGTTGAAATGATGTCTGATAGAAAAGGTTGAAAGAACTGCATCGATCCCACAAAAATGAACAGAGATAAAACGACATATGATAATGAATGATATCCATATATCCATCACCGACTAGCTAGTTTCATTTCATATTAAGTAGTCCTATGTAATAAAATGAAGTAACCTGATCTCCTTAACCATCCATAAGGAAGGCCTGAGCCCAGGGGCTCACTGCAGGCAGTGGGGACGTAAAAGGGCTGGTGATGATGTGATGATGAACCTGAGTCTCCGCAAACCCCTCGAGTTTGAGCTCGAGTGATTTATCTTATAGAGTCTATAATATCTAGAGTGTGCTGATGAAACTAGAAGGTGGCCAGAGGAGTTTGTAATTAAGTAACGGAACCATTAAGAGTTCGGCCTCGTTTTTTTTCGAGAACTCTGATCCGAGATGACTACAAAATCTTGATTTTAAAAAGATCAATTTTTGATCAATAGTTTATTTGAAAACGTACATATAATTAAGCTTCCCTTTCTGCATCTATCTTTCTGAACTTAATAAAAAAACTAACCAAAGATATTTTCATCCAGTTTTCACCAATAAATGGGGATGAAAAAAAAATTTACTGATTTTGATTTGTTGATTGATTGATAATAATTCATTGATTTAATTAACTGAAATGGAATATGAGGAAGGTGTAAGTGTATATAAATCTTTAAGCTTTTACCCAACTTACATGTTCTTTTTTCACTTTTTTGTTATTATATTCTTCAATACTAAAAAAGAAAATTTAATACATTTTAAGGCTACAAAAAGTCATTTTATAAATTCATCAATTACAATAATCATTTCTATTGTAACCTTAAATAAATAAAAAAAAGTTTTCTTTTCGTTTCAGTATCGTGATGTATGATGTCACCAGAATGACTGTGAATGTATGAGACAGGAATCATGGAGTCACCAGAATTAGTACCTCTGGAAGGTCAGTATCGGTATACAGATCATTGGATCTTGATTAAAATACCTAAATTAAATAGGTTTGGAATTTTTAAGGCCTAATATAGATATTTTCTTGATAAGATTAATAGAAAACTCTTAGCTGGAATCATTTCATTTTATATATTCTGTTGGTACACCGATATTATATCACAACTAGCTTCTGTAGACATATGGTATCAGGATAAAAAGTGGCGTAAATTCGGAAAGTGCCGTTGATTCGGATAATGATATAATTAAAACTTTGTATTATATATAAGGTGTTATATTATTATATGCCAGGACTACGTGGAGTGGATTAGTGTACTGAACAACTTTTACTATGGGAGCAACACTGAATTCACGAAAAAATAATCAGCTGTGTCATACAAAATTGTAATACCTACAATAGTTGACAGTTATATTAAAATTGACAGTTATATTATTTTTTTCGTGTTATATTAAAAGTTCTCGTGTTAAAAATTGCTCGACATACTTAACTAATCTACTCCACGAAGTCTTGGCATATAATAATATTGCACTTTATACAAACTACATCACAAATGTTAAATTCTCAATGTAGGTATACTACGATTCCAGATACTACCAACAACGTTACTAAAAATAACCTCACTCTACTATAATATACGTAATTATTGAGGATACTAAAGTGTATAGGAATATTTAAAATAATTTTAAAAAGCATGCATTCAGCTTTTGATGAATGTCGATAACACGGTACAGGTATGACGAGACTATTTTAAATGGAGAGTAAGAGATAAGGGTAATCAAATACTTCCATAATTAATTTAGAAATGAAAATTAAAGATAATAGAGAAATATATATAGGTGTATACACTTTTGATGCCATAACATTAGCGAACTGTGAACATCGCACCCCACTCCTATTCCACTATTAATGAAAACAAAACTAGAATCTATTTTAAAATATCAAATGTGCTACTCTTGTGCCTACCTCTCTAGGGAGGCATGATTTTAAATTGGTAATTAAATATTCAACCGATGTTTTATAACCGATGACGACCTCCGTAGCCGAATGGTTCGCACGCCGGTTTCTAGGTGTCAACATCTCTGAGGTGCCGGTTTCGCTTCCCGGTCCGGTCAATGTAGAAAATTAACTTTTCTATATTGTCTCGGGTCTGGGTGTTGTGGTACCTTCGTGGTCTCAGATACTCCATAATACGGGGACTTTAGCTACTCTTATTGGAATCTGAGCAATGTACGTGATGTTGTTTAATATTAAATTTAATATAATATTCATGTTCTAAGCTGGCGTCATCCGTCCACGGCTCAACCGCCACTGCAGCCGACTAGCTTCACGCGATTGCTACCGGGGACCTATCAAGATCTGCAGGCTGTTGGCATTACTCATATTCTTGCCAAGCGTTTTTATATTCATGCCGCTTTATATGAGGTAAGGCGGATCACGATTAAAATTTTCCTTTTAAAAACATCAATCAGACCTAAGCATTTTGTAGAAAGAAATAATATAAAACGCTAAAGTTACTATCGGAACTCCATCCGACTTCTATTGTACGATAAACTTAAGTACAAAAAGAAAAGTTTTCCCCAACTTCCATTTCGAGTTTCGACGCACTAAACGGTTGCTCCTCGCTCCCGGCTGAGTCAGCGATCTTTAACATCCAGGGGGCCAAATCTACTAAGTAAATTTTGTTGAAATCGAATCGAAAACGGATCGAAACCGAACGAAACTACAGTTTTTAATGGTCGATTTAAACAAAATTTATTTAGTAGAATTGGCCCCCCTATTCTGCCTAAATTCCAACAGTTGACTCTATTTTGAGCAGAACACAGATAATTTGGTTCTTCGTTTTTTTGTCGCTTATAACAAACAACAAAACGTGTTTTTAACCGTCTTCAAAATCCAAAAGGAGGTTATATGTTCGACGGCGATGTATGAATGAATGAATGTACACCGATATTTTCAAAATTCTTTTTGGTACCATTTGCATTTTATTGAAATCGGATCAGTAGTTTTCTTTTAATACCAAAACAAAACACGCTTTTCCCCATATATCACCTAAATATTTAGATGATATGTTTTCTATATACTAATTGTATCTCAAATAAAAAAACAGAAGATTGCGTATTTTGATTTCATTAAAAATCCGAAAGGAGGATTTTCTATATTCAATGAGTATGTATATTTTTTATTTGTCAATCAATTTCTTCTTGAATATTTTTAATAGAAAAAAATTAAAACTACTTATAAAATTGTGAACGAATTTCTATCAAACTAGATGATTCCCCGCAACTTCGCCTGCGTAAATTATAGCGTATTATGTAGCTACCCGTAGATGAAAGACTTATAGATCGGTCCAATAGTTCCGGGACCTATCCAATGCAAACAAACAAGCAATCAAATCATTCCTCTTAATATTATGAGTATAGCATAATAGGAAAAAATTATGTCGAGCAAATTAAAAAAAATCTTATTTCTAAGACTTTCAATATGTTGAATATTCATATTTATATAGAGTAAATATTAAATTGTTTGTTTGTTTTGCAACGAATAGGCCCCGAAACAACTGAACCGATTAAAAAAATTCTATCACCTACTGGAACCTACATCATATACGGTGATCATAGGCTATATTTTATCCCGAAAAACAGCAAATAAAGGGATGAAAATGGGTTGTGGAAGTTTGTATGGGGAATGAAAACGTTACCATAGTAACTATTGTTTACTATACAATTTGTCATTGTAATTATATCCGTGTCATCGTGTCATGATATGAATCGTTATCCAAATCAACAGTTTCCTCGGAAACGCGCGCGCGAAGCCGCTGGCGGAAAGCTAGTATTTAATATTTTTAGTGTAAAAGCAAGCAAAACGCTATAGAAGTCGGACGGCTATCATATAATTAATAAACATGCATAAGACCACCGCCCGACTTTTATAGTATTTTCTTGAATAAGTCGCTTTTGAGATAAGTATTATTTATCACTATTTAAAAGTTTGTCATTGTTTTCAGATATCGAGTGTTTTCTGGTCAAATGTATCCGATGAGTATGACAGATATGAGACTAATTGATGGCAGAATATCAACAACATGGTGTCAGGTAAATGTAATAACCTACTGCTACTCCAAAATCAAAACACGTTGCCAACATTTGACCTAAACAGACTCTTAGATCATGATGGAAGAAAAACATGAGTAGTTAATTAATAAGTAACATGATAAGGAGCCATGATGATAGTCACGTCAAACAAACACGAAGATATTGTATTTTATTGTCTCATTCAATGTTATAATTATGTTGATAACAATTGCAAATGAATATATGCCAAAGGTCACGATAATATAGACTTTACTAATTACTCGTTAGACGATGTGTAGCCATATTTCATATCGAGGTATATTGGTCCGATAACACTCTTACTAGAAAATGTATTATAAAAATCGTTAGCGATGAAAAAAAAAACAATATACCTTTAGAATCGTCATAATAGAACATAAAATGACATCCCGCCTCAACAAGAACCTTATTGAAAACTCTTAAAATGTAGGAATTAAGAGTCACAGTGGATTGGAGTATTTAATATATTTCACGTTGTAAATACATAAAAGTCAGATGACAGTAAAGAAGAGAGTGACATGAAAACAATAAACAGTGTATAAAATATTAATTCAAAAAGGTATACGAAATGATGCCAGTGTCTGATTAATATAGAAAAAGGTTTTATCTACAAAAACTTACGCAAATTGAAGCTTTCTTTTTATTATAATATGCAATTAATATTGTTTTATCTTTTTTTTTTATTCATCTACACACACAAAATATTTTGCAGTTTACAATGAAAAAACGCAGTTCTTTATATTATGTTAATCGGAACAAAATTGAAACTCTCTTTAATTTTGGATATAATTACTAAGTTTATTACTAGAATTGATTCGAATTTCATATTTCCATACTTTGAACTGGATGTTATCATACCTAATAAGGAATTTATATCAATAGGAAAAAAAATCAGTGTTGTTAATGAAAAAATCCATTTTGTCCTTGGTAATCTGAGATGGGATGGAATGGGACTGCCAGGGACAAAGTGGATTTTTGAAGCCTTTTTACTAACAATATTTTGTAGTATAGCATTGTGAAAAATGAAATAGTTAATTATTACCTTAAGTGTTTGTACAAAACTACCACTATTGAAACCAATTTTATTCTACGGCTATGCTAATATTTTCCAAATAAAAATAATTTTATGAAAAGTAAATATAATAATCAATTGCTTGCTAAAATTAGAAATATAAATTTCAACGACTGGCATTATAGAAATAAAATATATACAATACTAGGTTTTAATATAAAGTAAAGTACCTATACAATTTTTATTATATTTGATCAGTTTTGCATTCAGAACCCTATAATGAAAAATATTCTTAATAAAAAATGCTTAAAAGATCTCAGAGTACCAGGGCCAAAGTGGATTTTAGTCATTTTTCATTGATTAAAAATATATGAAATCACGCGAGCGCATCTTTACTCTCGCTGCGTATTTCTTGGCGTATTATATAGGAATTATGACACAGATAAATAATATCTCCATCTATCGAGCAGCATATAAAACTAATACGCGTGCAAACAGAGCACGTCGTGCGTGCCTGATACTTGTTTTTGTTACTTGGTACCGCAATCTCTAAAGTAACATATAGATGACGCTTGAATTATATTTAAACCTTGGTTTGCCAGGGTCAAACCGAACCTTATTACTAGGACTCCGCTGTCCGTCCGTTTGTCCCATGGAGCTATTAGCTCCATGGTTTGTCCGTCTGTCACTAGGCTGTATCTTATGAACTACTATAGATAGTTAGGAGAATGTTTAAAGTGACTCCCGTACAGCAAACGTGATTTTTTTTTTGCTTATTTCTGTAAGGGGACCCTTCGTACGCCAGTCCGACTAGCACTTGGTTGGTTTTTTGTAAAATACCTTATTTATAACATGATATTACACCACGGGGCTTTATAAACATTTCATAGTAAAATGGTAAGAATTTAAAAGGCATACTTTTATCAGCCCATATTAATGAAGTTTTTTTTATTAAAGAAATTTTTTTTTTGTTGATTTTGATTTGAAAGACAAATTATATAAAAAAAAGAAACGCTCTTTAAGGCAGCGAAAAATGCAATTCTATTTAGTCCGTCAGTCAGATAACAGAAAAATATTTCGTATATTTATATACGTATATATATACGAAATATATTTTTTTACTTCAATTTAACAAGAAATAGTATAGATACGTATTTTTTTTACTTCAATTTAACAAGAAATAGTATAGATAACAGGCATTAATTTTTTAACACTCTACCTGACGGACAAACAAACAAAAATTAGTCATCATCCCTATTGAATTGCCAATCGTTATATTGATAAACCTCAACTTCCTTACAGAGACAAGTAGTCCGATCGAACACGACCTTCAACGCGTTCGTGGTACCAGGCCCGCCGGAGCTGACGGACGAGCTGGTGCCGGTGTCTATGACCAGGGAGCTGGAGTTGAAGGACGACATGAAGGAATACTGGGGATTCTATCTGCTGAAAGGATCCACTGTTACCGTGTCGACGTGTGTCAGGTTAACACACACATTGAACATTTAAACAGTGTCCATTTGAATTCCGATAATCCTCTATTTATATTTCCTAGCTCAGACATTATTCTCTTGCTATAGATAATACTAGCTTTAGCCAGTGGCTTCGCTAGCGTGGTCCCCAGGGAACATTTTAAAGGATAAAAAGTATCCTATTATCTTAGTCAGCTAATACCCTGTCCGTATACCAAAAATCATTAAAATCCGTTTAGTAGTTTCGACGTGGTTGACGGACAAACATCCAAATAAAGAAATTTCACATTTATAATATTAATAGCATGTATCCTACTTATGTTAAAAACGCGAAAGATTGTGAGGATGGATGTATGGATGTTTGTTACTCTATTACTTATAAACCACTTGATGGATTTTGTTGAAATTTGGTATACGGATATATCCGAGCGTGGATTAACATATAAGCTCTATATGTTAATCCACGCTCGGATATATCCGTATATTTTATTTAGCTAAACAGTCTCCAGCGGCTTTGATTACGCGTCCGCGTGATTTAAAAAACACTGTTAAAGTTATAAGTAAATGCATCGTCATTATTTGCCTTGTGTTCACAAAATTTACATTTGATGGATTAGATTAATTGTTTTATGGCCTGCTATACAATAAAAATATTTTTATCACGTAAAACTTTACGATCTTAACCATTGGCGTAATCAACAATAGCTCATTGATTTTGTACGTCTCAATTATATAAAAATAAGAGCAGTCCGGTCAGTGGAAAATATCGGTAATACCGTTTCGAGTAACAGAGGTCTTGCTCCCAGGTACTTGAAACAGTATTCGAACTGTCACTCTTCAAGAGCAACAAACAAATTATTGATTTTAGCTAACTAAAACTTTACAAATCTGTTGATATTATATTTGCTAGCACATCGTCGTCCTCACGTAAAAAGTCCTTATTTCGATTTTAGGTTAACAAAATCCCCATCTCATGCTTGGTTATCATTTTCATATCAACGGCTATGCTACTTACTTTAATGTTAACTATTGACATATTTCCTTAGGTGGCCAGGAGCTTCACTAATCATGATCAAAGGTTACAAGCATCTACATGAATGTGCGTATATCGGAGACGATTCTTCTGAAGAACTGGATGAGCTGATGGAAGCCAACAAGTTGGGTCTGATATCTGACGCCTTGTTGTTGGAAAAGATACAAGAGCTGAAGAAGGTTGATGGGAAAGCAAACCATCCTGGTGTGTATGTTGACTAAAACCAAGCTACTTGTATCTTTCATGATAGAGACAATATTGGTTAACCATATTATCTACCAAAGATTTGTAAACGCGGCTCACATTCTGAATGAATTAATTTTCCAAACGTGAATTTAACGTATAAAATTGTTTTGAAAAAAGGATGCGACTATTCTAATCTACAGTTACAATAAAAATTACTAGTAATATATAATATCTAAGGGTATAGATGTTTGTTTGTCACTCAATAACGTTTAAATTAACTCGTCCCCATCTCCTCGAAAAGAGTTAGGAAACTGACATTTGAAAAACAAGGAATCAGTACTAACTAGGTTAGTCGCTAGAAGCAATTCATTATAACGTCTATTAATAATTATCAAGTTATAGCTTTTATTGGCCATTTGGCATTCTCGTTGCGCATTTCAAGGTCCCATTTCCGAATTCTTCGAAATAAACTTGCTTCGGAGTTGATAGAACTTATTGGTGGTAAACCTAAGGATATAATTAATATATAAGTTTATTATTCTAACAACTTATTAAATTTATAAGTCTTAAAATGCATTATACTCATTTTGCTTCCCAAATTTTAATGCTTCAGATACTATGAAACGCCATAAGGCTGGTGTCAGCTTTCATGACCCGAGTCACACTGCAAACGTCACATCTCCAGAATCAGTCCCTACTGCTGACGTAACAGAACAGGATCCTAAGGTAATCAATTCTATTTGTTCAATTTTTTCACCAAACTATTTAGAGACATTATCTCAGCTATTAATATTATACACGCCATCTAGTATAGCACAAAGTATATAATTTGTAAAATGATTATAAAACGATTTGTACTTGAATATTTATAATATTTGAAATGTCAATTTTGTTATCAATTATGTACTCAAATACCGATTTTTATCGCAACATAAGGAAATCTTTATAAATAATATTAGATAGATTTATTACAATGACAAATCAAATTGTAAATAATCGTTGCTATGGTAACATTTTGATTCCCCATAAAAACTTTCACTCCCATTATTATCTCTTTAAGTGCTAGTTTTCGGGTAAAATACCAATAAACTATTACCTTTCTATGGTCTAAACTACCCAAATACCAATTTTCAATGATATAAGCCCAATATATATATATATAGCTCAAATAGACCGGACAGATCATAACGCAGGCCTAGCAAGGATCGGTGGGTGGGTTGGACTGCCAATGCAGCCGGGACCAACGGCTTAACGTGCTTTCCGAAGCACGGAAGAACTCGAGAAAATTTACTTATGGTCACCCATTTTATGACCAGTCCTTACGGTGGTACTTAACCTATGCATTGTGAACCGAACGCGGTAACCAATATACATTTCTGAATATCGTTTTTTTATGCAAAGCCTAACATTGGCCACTGATTATAAACATATTGAGATTCTTTGGATTCATACATAATATTTTTAATCACAGTCATTAATTTTCCTTTATCATTAATTGATGGTTAACGATAGTAGTTTATGTTTTCCCTTTTCTTCTTTTATATTTGTATTGATGTCCCATCTCACGCTTCTATTTCAGGAGCTACGAGAACTCCTGGAACGTCTCCATGCTCTTCGCCAGGCAGCTAAAGATGAACTGATGAAACACTATCAGCCGCCATCTCATCTTGTGTCTCTACCAAGTTTGCACCGACACAGAGACACTAATGTAGACAAAGATGAAATCAAATGGATTTCTTTCACAGGTAAGAATAAATATTAAGTTTAAATTACATCCAAGGAAAATATGTTTTTAATTATTCTTACGTATTCACTCTTTTTAATTTAATTATGGTTAAACCAAAACTTTAGAATAAATCTATATTCATTGTTTCAGATATCGATGGCAAAAAAAATAAAACAAACATATATACTGACACCGCAATTAATGTACAACCTTTAGCTATTGATCCCAAAAGTGCTCCCAATGAGAGAGAAAAAGAAATAAACGATACTCATGCTAGCATAGATAATTATAAAATTAGCTCTGACAAAAAAGTACAGGAAAAAAAAATTACAATCAAAGAAAACAGTTCTATTGGAATAAAAGAAGATGTAACAAAATATACGACCGAGGTAAGAATTTATGTAACATTAAATCGACATTCATAGTTAGAGCAAATGAAAATATTGATATAATGAGACTGATTTTTAATGGTAAATTTATGGTGTAATTGATTTGTTTGAATTTTTTTCTTCACAAAATCAGTCCATATCTCATGTTTTTAGCTATAAATAACATAATTTTATTCACTTATTCTGACAGGTAAAAATACCTTTTAAAGTTTTATATAAAATAAAAATTAAATAACACACAACGTATTATACGATGACAAGTTTCGATATGTGTCTGATTACGCCAAATGACGGATTAGAAACAATTGCCTGTCAGATATTATCTAAAGCCTAGATAAATTCAAGTACACTGCATCACGAAAATCTCACGACATTCTTAAGCTATTGGATTAACATTTATTTCTATAGATATATAATAAAACTAGTATTTAATTATTGTAACTTATTGAAATTCGCTATTAAAAAATTATTTGTCCTATAATTCTATATCAGATTAGCTATAGTCTTATTTTGTGAGCCACAGTAACTCTTTTATTTCTTCTTTGATTCTACACTAGCTATTATATGATATACTAAATGCCTCAAGATATATATTATAAAATACTCGAAAGCCTTCATTTGAATTATTGTTACTTCGAGTGTGATGTATACTGCCACATATATATTTATGTACAATAGACAACTCTGACATCATGGTCTTATTATCAAAGATATTCATTGTTATAGATATTTTGAGGTCACTAACTACATCTAACTATTCATGAATATGAGTTTGCTATTTTAATCCTGTCTATATACCAAGGCCTACTTCATAAACAGTATAACAACATCGTGATTGTTGTGTTACAAACAATCATTGTGGATGTATGGTGGACGATGTATGTATTGTTGAAGAGACCGAATGAAATTATTTTTGAATTTGACAGTAATAGGTATATTAGTTATTTTGATTACTTGTGTTGTTTCTAAATTTGTAATACTATGGTAAATGGTTAGTAATAAATATCTAAAACGTTATTTTGACTATAAGTTTTATATAAAATATTTAAATTAATATTATCTTTCTCATAAGTCTCATGTTTACCAATAAAAAGTTTATAATTTTGCAGGAAATTTCCACAATGTCCAGCTCTATTGAACAAGAATCTTCTCGAGAAATTTTCGAAGATGTCTTCAAGAGGCTAAGGGCGCTGGGGGACAGGGGCAAGAGAGTTCTTGCCAGGCTGCACGAAACTATGGATGTAGAATATAATCGGGTAAAGTGGTAAACTATAATAAAATAAACTAGATAATACCTATCTGACTGCCACGCCAGGGTTACGACGTGAAGATATAGGTAGATAGTAAAATCAATAAGGAATGTCTCATGGTCGTTAGAACTTTGCTACGCTTAGTGATGTTTTATGTGACATACGACGTTATATAATCTAAATGGCCGTGATCGTATATCACGGCTAGCTCATCTATCTCAAATCTGAAAAATACAAGAGAACAGAAGAACATTATAAGTAATATCAAAATCAGTGCAAAAAAAAATGATTACGTATTAGTAACTGTAAATTTTATTAAAAAAAAAAGAAGCAGGCAAAGATGAATAAATATGTTTTGATCTTGTTGAACTATCATTTCTTTGTCTACAAAGTTTGTGTCATTTTTTATAACAAAAAGACATTTGAAATCCTTCCATCGCTTTGTCGGTTGACGACCTTCACAGTCTAATGGCTTGCACGCTTCACAGCATCTCCATCCCATCATCATCGAGATCACGCAGACGAGAAAAAAATCGTCTCGTGTTAATTGTAACAACAATGGACCGCAGTCTATTTTGGCTTTTTTAATTTCCCTGTAGCCTACATAACAAATTATCTCAATAAAGATTGACACATTACCTTTTTGTAATTTTGAATAAAGGCAGTGCCGCCGAATTTAATTATTTTTAATAGTTCGAATGCTAAGCTAATAAACAATTACAAAATGTTCCAGTTGCATTCGTGCGAATGACTGATCTATAAACAATTGTGACTGTTTTCGTAAAAAGGAATTTAAAGTTTTCGTGTCAAGTTTTACTAAGATTAAAATTCTCACCACATATAACGATATCAAAACAATATAAAATAATAAAAGGAGTAGTAGGTAATAAAAATACTTTTGTATTGAAACGAATCAGAGATCTACATGTGCGACGTATCATCTTTCATGACGCATCAATCAGAGAGAGGCCTATTCATTTAAAGATCAAATCATGCGCACTTGACCTGTGTCATGTATATTTACAACGCCATTTGTAAATCAAGTCAAGTTCAATAGGTTTAGCATAGTGAATCATAAATCAATTGTGGTACACTAAATTATTTAAGATGTTGATATTACGAGAAGTAAGTGAATTGCCTTAATTTCTATATGCTAACGTGAAACAGTTGTAGTAAAAAATATAAATTGTTTACCTTATAAATTAACTACATTAATTTGAGATCAAAGTAAAAAAGGTTAGACAAACAACGGAATTTCGAAAACATACCGAACTTATAATTTGTGTTTGATTAGTATTAAGGTCCGAATTAAAGCAAGTTGTTTGGAAGTAGTATTAGTGTAGTCAAGACCAATGTCACGCAATGTAGAGACAGACAAAAAACTATAAAATTAGAGTAAACATATTCTTAAATTTAAAAATAAATTCTGAAGAAGGTTGCTCGAGAACATTGATTTGTCATTGGATGAACAAATATAGGAAAACGATTATTATAAAAAAATAAAATATATCGCACACCTAGATCTAAACTAAGACAACTCAAAAAACTAATGTGGAGGTCTGACAATACATTTGTTTACTTGGCAGGAGCGCGACCACTGTTGATTCAACAAAAAAAAAGCTAAAGTTATCTAGCGGCTCATCCCCGAAACTTTATTGAATCTGTTATGTTGGATAGATGCGTATGATGACCGAGTATTTGAATATTGTACTAAGTCAAAACTCACTCAAATTTTTGAGTTTTCTGAGTTTAGATCTAGGTGTGCGATATATTCACTGATAACAATACAAACAATCGCTTAGCTAATGCTTTGAAGCCACTAACTGGTTGACGCTTGTTATCATTATTATTCTTTCATGTTTATATTATTGATATTTAGAAAATTTATCGTCTGAATTCAATTTCTACAAATTCGCCCATGGACCAGATAAGACAAGAAATGCATACCTTATTATATAATTGATACTCCTTCATTGTTAGTCACCCTTTCTCTGAACGTGCAAGTTCGTTAGACCTCAACGTGCTTGCATCGTCTCGCTTTAAAACAAATACACCAAAGGCTCCGTCAATTTTAGATGTAATGATCCATATAATCAAATATATTCAGAAATAGATCCATTTAATAATACGATTATGACATTCAAAACTGATAAAGATTCTATCACCTCAATGATTGAATTCTTCTTTTTTATTCGTTTTTTTTTTCCTTTAAATACCTGTAATGTATTTTAATGTATGCCCTATTTACCTTCTGTGTTATTTGTAAGCTATGTTTCGTATTTAAGTATGTTTAAAAATATTTTATGACACTTAATGTCTTTGTTACATACAAAAACTGTAATTTACATATTGTAATAATCATTGTAATGACTGGTTGTCGCCTAAATAAATAAAAAATATATGTTTTAACACTACAGGTACGGGGTATTATACGAAATCGAAATATAAAATTTATTTGCTTCTTTCCATTTCAGACTTCGAACAAACCTACATCGGATATAATGTCAACCGTCAAAGGCAGCGAAGAGGAACTTGATAGTTTAAGAAATATTTTAGTGGAAGCCATCGATGAAGAAAAGAATCGGGTACAAAGAAAAGGTGAGTAATCTGATCGTCAACAGGTCATCAATCACTATTATCATAAAAAAAATACATAAACTAGATAATATTTGCTAAAATATTTCACTGAATAAATTATTCATACATCAAGTCTTAGTACTGTCACTAGATGGCGCTGTACCCTTTTTATGAACATCGCACTATTAAAGATTGTTTGCGATCGATATAGGGTAACCGTCCACCGCTTATCGTTACTCTGGTTTCCCTTCAAAACGTATAAATCTTTCGCCTTTTACTAAAGATTTCCGTGGAGGGGAACACTCAAAATGAGTCTCTAATTATTTTTGACAGCCTTGATTCATCAAGGCTTATATGATATAAAACAAACATATTCCACAGCAAAACTAAGGAAGATCTATAGTTGCATGTAGCGTTGTGTAACTCACTCTTTTTTAATGAGGATGAGTGAGTGCCTCATTTTTTTCCCTCGTGAGGGGCTCGCGAGTTACCCCTCATTTGAGGTGAGGATAGGTAATGTTATAGTAGTAGTGAATGAGTACGTAGCGAGGCGCGCGCAACATTGCCGTTTGGTACAAAATGAGGGAGGGAGTCGGTAATGCTAAATAAAACATATTTTGTCTTTAGATTCTGAGAAATAAACTTTATTAGATTATTATTTAATAGAATGACCACAACACGCAACTTATTTGCAGTAGTGTAAAATGTTACATTTTTAAAATCGATCAATCAATTACGATATATTTCGAATCGAATTGAAAAACGAGTACTCCCTCATTTTGTCGAAATGAGGAACTCAAACGAGGCACCTCACGAGTGAGGGGCTCATCACTACTAGATAGATCATCGGAATTTGGTTCAAGATCAATTTCATGCAGAATAAATAGTTTAAGCGACATAACGATCGACGATTCGACGTTATTTATTTATACAATGAGTAGCGTAGTAATCGGATTCTGTTATACTTTTTGCCAACTAGATTAGAGCATATTCTTTTTTTTTGTGCTCAGCCCTTTATAGGACTGTCCCCCAGGTTTAACTTAATTTTTATTCTACAAGAAAAAATATATTTTGAGATTTATTATCAGAAAATGCAATTCACATATGTTTTATTTTGTAATTAATAAATATTTTTTCCATTGATTCGAGCAGAACTAATTTAATGACCATTAAAATGATCCACATGGACTGATTTCGTATGTCCCCTCATCCAATACTATGTTTTATTATGAAAAATAATAAATGTTTTTGGTAGAAATCACATAATGCAGTTATATATATGCTAAAATTTTCTCAATTGTTTACAGATATTTTATTAAAATTAGAAATATTGACGCGTTTAAATTTCTGTACAATCCGGAACTTTCACTTTTGCCACCGTATTTTAACTACAAAAGCTCCCCTAATATGAACATTTCTTTTTGAAATGGAAACATTTAATGCTTCTTTACACAAAAACGTCATTTTGAATTTAGTGTCAAATTAGTGCAGCTAAACAAGACGTGTTGAAGTGACCCTACGGACGAACACATTTTTAACTCAGGTTTGTGTCTTAATTATTTGTTTTTTAATTGTTCAAAATTTCTATTAATTTTACATGTTATTGTAAATTCAATTTAGTATTCAGTAGTTGTAAATTTCAAACGCCAGGCACGTTCGATAATTTTTAATTTATTTTTTAATGCATGTGGGTAAATATATGTGACTTCCATTTTATGACTATTTTGCTGGTCACATACAGGCTGAACCAAAAGTTACTACATGACTGACCTCATAAAGGTTCGTTCATAAAGACGTTAAATACTTTTTAAATTTCATGTCAAAGAAGTAGAAACTGTTCACCACTCCATTTGCGCCAAATACTAGGTACAACGACAGTAAAGCTTAGTGTTAGCAAATATAAAATCTCTGAAAAGTATAAAATGTAGTCGCTTTCCGCGTCTGTTTGTCTGTCCGTTTACCCGCTAACTCGTCGTAAGCTACGCAAAGGATTATAATGCAGTTTTCACCATCATTTAGATAATATTTACCTGTGACAGAACGGAGACCCTATATGCGTTTGGGGTGGTATGTTGTTTGTTTGCTTGTGAGCACTTTCTATATTCCCTTATATCTCTTAAACGGTTGGACGGATTTCGATACGAGTTTCTGTAAATGATCTGTAATCTGCTGGAGATACAAATAATGTAAAATACCACATTTTTAAGATATCATGCAATGTATGTGCTAAGAGTGCCGGTATATTCATGGTGCCATCATAGTTTCGCTAGATCATCGATTGCTAAGCAACACTTTTTTGTTTATTAGATAATATTTGGAAGTTCAGTTTTGTCACTGTCCCTTAATTTCGGAAAGAGAAAAACTAAAATTGTACTATTTATTCTGGTTTAAGGGTATAGTATTAAGTATCACTTAGTGTAAAAATTAATTTTATTAAAATAGATGGTCTTGCATTCGCAAAAAACTTAATATTTTCAAAAAAAATCTAAAAAAGTATCATTTGTCACAAAACTGATGAACAAAGTACATTTTTTTTCAGGATTCTTGAATTGAGATATACGTTTTTAAGTTTTTTAGTTAATATACATGTTAGATATTTTTAAATAAATAAATATCTTTTAATAATTGCAGTAGTTTTTTTTTTAATTGGTCTTTACAAATAGTCACATAACGGATAGTACTACACAACTTGTTCCAATTTGTTTAGGTATATCTTTAAATCAAACTTATATTTTGGCGTTTTATACTATATTTCCATTATTAGATAGTATAACCATTATGAATATATAATAAAGTTTACCTTAAAATATAAAAAATACCGAAACATGAGTGATAAGAGTTCGCACAAAAAATAAAATGTGCTCATTAGCGTTTCCTAACCGGATAGCGGATTTTTTAAGCCGCTGAAAATACCGTAGGGGAGACCTAGGTGAGTTGTGACAGAGGTGAGTTGTGACAAGGACGATTTCTCTCTACGTATTATAGTAAGCGAGATGGCATTAACGCTTGTTTGTCGTTCTCGACACGCGCTACACGACTCAGTACCTGTCGACGGTGCATATGGCACAGTTGCGTAAATATATCGTCAGTGTACAAAAAATTACGAAAAGTAAGTTTTTCTTCAAAACATTATTTGAATATATATCATATCTTAGTATATGTGCATTGATGTGTTATTTTTTCTTAAGTTATGTAGTTATTTAAGTCTCAATACGTGGCACTGATTTTTTGTATGCGCATCGTGTTTAGAAAATATGAATTATTATTCGGACCAAGACGTCATTTTGAACACCTAGGAGAGTTGTGACAGCCTGTCACAACTCTCCTAACTTACTCCAAATTTCTGCTGGGCTATTTTTACATTATTTTTTATTAACTTTAGATGTTTGTTTGTATGTTAGTAGCTACTTAAGGTGTATAATGGCATACCGCATACTTATTTTTTTGAGAATACCAAATAACTATACACGAGAGACTGAAAATCTAAGAATGTTAAGAATCGTGTCTTAAGCGAAGAAAAAAAAGGAAACCTAAAAAAGCAAAGAAGACTAATAAGAAGAATAGAACAAGTGATGAAGAAGATGTAGAAAATAATTGCTTTTATTTGGTTTGCCTTGAAGCCTATGCAGACAGCAGATCGAATGATCAGTGGGTCCAAAGCCTGGAATGCAAAGGCTAGGCACAGTTAGATTGTACTGGGGACGAACTTCATTACGTTTGGCATAAATGTGAATCTGATTAGATTAAGATTTTATACTGATGAGAATATTCTCATAACAAGTAATTATAATATTTTCATTAACTAAATATTGTATCGCTTTGAGATCAATATATTATTGTAGTATTAATATTAATACTATGTTGTTTTAGTTGGTAGGTATTAAAAGATGATTAATCAAATCAAATCAATCTTTATTATTGATCGCAGGTTATATAAAGATATTGGATGCAAGGACTGAATAGTTACACCGTGATCTGCCTAAAAAGCATACAATATTTGTAGGTTAGTAATTGTCAACTAATCTAATCAATAACATATTATGTCAAAAATTCAACTAATTCATTAAGTATTTTACATTTACAAAGTACTGTCAGCTAGATACTCGTTTACACTATAATATGTTTTAGCTACTAATAATTTATAAAGTTTTCTTTTAAAAACATTACAATTATCCAGATTACGTATTGTTTTTGGAATTTTATCAAAAATTTTTGGAGCCATACAAAAGATACTTTTGTTCAACTGAGCTGTCTTAGAGGGTATCGTACACAATTTGTCTCGATGATGCAATCTCGTCTTATTTTCAAATAGTTGTTGATCCTGTTTGACAAAAATACCAACTTCGAATATATAGATTGATGGCAGGGTCATAATATTTAGTTTAATAAAATATGCTCTTAACACATTTTTTCTGGGCTTTAAAGGCAGTTACAGAATCAGTCGAATATCCCCAAAATATAATCATAACATATAACCGTATCGAACAGTAGAAACTACGTACGCGTGATAAGCTGTAAGGACCGTGCACTGATTCGCGATCCTACTAAGTTTGTACAGTGCACAAGAATACTGGGACAACTTTTTGCAAACATGTTCAGTGTGTGTTTTCCAAGTCAAATTTATTATTATAGTACTGATTAAAGTACTGATTTATAAAAAAAAAACGTGCTTGATTTATTTATGTCGTATGTAATGGTATTTTTATATCTTATAGCTTAAATACAATGATGTCACAACTTACCTCGGTACCTGTCACAACTTACCTCGGTGGTAGGAGAGTTGTGACAAGGGGAGTGGACTTGAATTTTGTTATTTTTTTCAGAAACTATTATACTTTAATTAATTTTAGTGATGGTTTTAAAAACAGAAGGAATGGCGCTAAACTAATTCACATGAGTCATATCTGTGGAATGTTTCTTAAGCGAGATAGAGCCCCTTATGTAAAAATTGTCACAACTCTCCTAGGTCTCCCCTACCTAATGTTATAATCTATTCTAACCGTTAGTAATTATTTATTATTATTTAATTAACTCTGCCTGCTGATAGATAAATAAATAAACGTCAGTTTATAATTTGGTCGCCAGCCAAAAAGGTTACCAACCGTATAGCTAAATAGAATAGAATGTAGCTATTTAGCTAACAAATAAATAATTTATTCATCTGTAAAAGAGGTTGAATGACATAATATACCTAACATTGTTTATCTACATGTTATTAAAAAATGGGACATTTTGATAGATAAAAAATTAAATCAAAATAATCTATTTTTTTTATTAGGTCCTTATTAGGTACATATGAAATTAGTGTTCGGTATAGGAAGAACAAAAAGTCGAATATTTTTTAATATAATATATTTATTTAATCAAAGTATAAACCATTGTTATCTATGCACTTTTGCCATTTCATAGGTAGTTCATTGATCCCCTTTCTAAAAAATACCATTCGGACGGGAATCAATGAAATCTTTGAATGCGATTTGCACTGCCCCGTTGAATTTTTACTCTCGCAAGAATTTCTCCAAATTTCGAAAAAAATGGTACCTAATCTGTTGGACGCACGGTCCATGGAGTACGGTGGGTGTCTTAGACATTCCAATTGAAGCTCTTCTAATTTGGTAGCCGTCTGTTATGCAGTGTGTGGTCTAGCGTTGTCGTGGAAGCTAGTTTTTCCTGCATGGTTTGCAATTGCTGACAATAGACGTCTGTCGTAATCGACTGGCCAGATTTGAGAAAACTGTAATGAACGACACCGGCACTAGTCCACCAAACGCTTACAAGTAACTTCTTTGGGGTCAATTTTCGCTTGGGGGGGCATGCCAGAGTCCAACCATTGCAATGAGCACTTCTGATTATCGTAGAGAATCCACTTTTCATCAGAGGTAATGATTCGATTTAAAAACACTTCATTATTGTGCCGGTTAAGTAATGTAACGCAGCAGTCGAAGCGCGTTTAACAGTTTGCTTCACTCCATTCGTGAGCTTTCAAACTTTTTAATCTTTCCAATTCGCTTCAAGTGGATAAAAACAGTTTTATCAGTAACACGGACGTGGTTTGCGATGGATCCGCTTCCACAATAGCTTTCAATTCTTCATTATTAACTTGGGTCTCCGGCCGTTCACGGGTCTTGTTCTGCAGGTCGAAATTTCCAGAACGAAAACGTTAGAGCCAAAAACGCACTGTGTTTTCTTTTGCGACACAACCGCCATACACATCATTAACCCTTCAAGCCGTTTCCGCAGGACTGGTACTACGGTGGAACTCGTACTCGTAAATAACACGATCTTTCAAGTTTTACATTTTTTATACTGGGTGAAGTAAATTTGTGATTAAAGTAGCCAGTACGACAAAACGCCAATTTCATATGTAAGGACCTAATATTATAAAACCTATTTTTTATGAGCAGAGAAGCGGCGATATGCACAAGAGGATGCCCGAGCCAAGAGAGAGCTAATGCTCGGACAGATCGAGCTCCAGAAACAGTTCAATGAAGACGACGAGGCTAGAGATTATGCTGCTGAGGAGGTAATTTTTTACCTACCTACTAAAACTTTTTGAATAAATTTTCGAGACTTATTCCTTTTTAAAAATAGCTTATGTATCAATTAGCGTTTCTCTTTTAACATTTCAACCGGCGACATTCAAGAATTGTTTGTAAAAAAACATGAATTGCAATAATTGGATCGTTTAAACATTTGTTACATTTCTACGATTAAAATAATAATGAAGATCGAGCTTCGCAGCCGCGAACCTGCTCTGAATATGTTATTTTACAAGAAAAGTGTAGATGTAAAGTGTACGTATACCTATAACACATCTACGTGTTTAAAATTGGTGTTGTTTGTATAAAAATAAAATTGAAAGATTTGACAAAGAAACTTAATTATCCAAATAATTGAATAATTGTTATATGGCTATTTATTATTACATTTTCTCCAGATTAATTTATTATTGTGGGTCTAATTGTGCTTGTAAGATTTTCTTTTTTTTTCAGATAAATAATTTTATTTAATGAAATAATACTAGATACGATATTTATTAACTATTATTAAACGATGGTGTATCTGTGTAATTCATTCATTAAATATGAATGAATTTGACTTGACTGATGTCATGACTTGAAATTTTCATATTATTATATATTCTTTTATCTGATTGACAGGATCTTCAGCCGGATGGCTATGCTGAACATCATGAGCAGGTGAATGAGACGACGGCGTTCGACATGAGCAACTCAGAGTTCTGGTCCTCATTCTCCAGCAGCGAGGAGGCTCTGTTGGAATGTGAAGGTCTCATACTGAACCTGCCTCTAACGCCGCACAGTTCCTGCCATAAACAGGCTACTGACAGTGAAAGTTTCTCCGCGTCTAGAGCTAATGCTCTCACTTATAGGTGAGCCTACGTGTCCCTGATAACTTGTATAGTTTTTTCTTTATACAAGGAATGGGTTGACATTTGCCTGCTATCTGACCTGACGGTCTGTAAGATGTGGCCTAAGATGGTATATGATTACCCAGAAAGTGCCTGTTCACTCTGACTTTGAAGGATCCAGATTATTTATAGATTAATAAGGCTTAAAGATACCCTTAGATACGTCCCTCTTGGTTATACGTATTATGGTAATGACTCCTCTGTCTGTCCATCCGTCTTAATTTGTTTTTTTTTCTGGAAAGTGTTTTTTTTTCAGACAAGTTTTTCAGTAAGTAGTGTATTTAAAAGTGCCATTGAATCGTACAACAACCATGAGACGTTCCCAAATGATGTTTTTAAGGCATAAAATAAAGTTTCATAAATTACGAGTATTATATCAAGTCAAATGGAATAGGTAATAAATAAATATTAAAGAAAAAACATTCTTAATAAAAATTTAGTTTGGCTGAACATTGATGGAAATGCGCTGATTAGTAGCGAAAGTAACAAGTACTTGTGATACGCAAACTCTCGGGTAAGATCAAGGAACGAATCGAATTCGTTAACTAATATCCTATAAGTTAAATATTTTCTATTCCAGAGTACCATCGAATGGTTACTACTTCTTCGTATTTAATTCTGAAAACGAGGTGCAGACTAACTTTATAAAGGCGCGTTTCGATCTACAGAAGACGAGATATGAGGTCGCCAGAACCGCACTAAGGGAATGCAGGAACACCACCGCGAGGTGCGACCTTCCATTAGATATATTCTCAAGCCAAAAGGTATGTTTCATTTTTACAAATTTATATGAAAGTGATAAATGGATCACCTATCCAATGGCTTTGGGTAGGTAAACAGGGCTTTGCAAAGCCCAATTCATAAAACTGCTTTGAACCACTCTTAAACTGATTAATTTTTTAATTCGACTTTTATTATGATTACAGTAATTATTGTTGCCACTTTTATATCTCAATTTATACATTGGAATAAAAAATTGAAGTATTTATTTGTTAATTACTTCATTCATGCGAAATTCTATCGATCATCACTTCATATCTTCTTCATGCATTTGTTGTTTTATTATTCAATCTATCAAATTTGAAATCGAACTAGTTTCTGTGATCCGTTGATAGTTAAGAATATTGTTGGCAGGTGGTGTTAGAAGTGCCTCTGAGGAGCAACGACTCGTTGTGGAACGAACAGTTCGTGATCATGTCGGAGTGCGAGCCGCGCACCTCCGTGTACGTGGCGTGCGTCGTCGCCGTGCCCGTGCTCATCATGATGTTCGCCTTCCAGTAAGCCTGATCGAGCACGCGGTACGTTGCACTCAGGCAGTGGCGTAGCAAAGTGTAATCTACACGTAGTCGAATTGTCGGTCATGTGATTTAATTTCAGTCGCTGTGCTTAAAATACTAAATTTGCTACTGATATAAAAAGCATTTGTTTGTACACAAAAATATATTAATATATTATTTTAAGTACTTTTTATTATTATGTGTACCGTCAATATTTAAAAGTAAACCGGCACCATAAGTCTTTGCGAAGCCCCTTTTAATATGAGGCCGCGTGCCCTAACTACGTCACTGCATTTTAGAGACGAACGTCTGAAAGTTATGTAAGTCAGAAATGCTTAATATCTAATCAATCAGTCTTTTCTTTTTAGTATAACTACTGGAAGTAGTTAAATTTTTTGCTTATAAATTTTCTGAAAATGGTTTTCGGAAATTTTCCTCGGTAATAAAATCATAGGTAATGGATTTTATACATATACGAAGTGGCGAGCAATAGCTTTATTTTTCTGTTATTTTAAAATACTGCTTTAGTATTAATTTATCATTACATTTATATAATCGTATTAGAGTGCTGAGAGTATTGTAGTAAAAGTTCAAAGTGCCTAAAAAATAAGCGTTGTGATTTGTACGTAATATTTAAATACTTACTTTATTATAAAATTTGAATCTTGTTAAATTTATTTAGAATTTTAACCCTATGTTTATAACACTAAACGTGCAATTAAATTATGATAACATAATATAAATTTTTGTAGCTTATGAATTTGAAAATTGTTTCTTATTATATTTCATAAATTTTGCATTCACAGTGTTATATTAATTATCTCAAACAAAAATATTGCTAACACTATGTAATTTATCACGTAGTTTTCAACTTTCACGAGTGTCTAAAGCAGCCTTTCCCCAAAGTGGGCGATGACGCCCCCTCGTGGATGCTGCAGGCCTAAAGGGGAGGCGGTGAGAGACCCAGAAAAAATGGGGGCATTGTGTAGAGGTTACAGTAAAAGTCTAGTTTAGTATGAATGTTAAATCTCCGCTAATATAATTTATTATAATTAATTTAATTTAAAGTTATAGGGGTCTTAAGTAGTTTAAAAACCGTGGCGCTAAAAAATAATTTATTGTCAAAGTCGCCATGAGACGAAATAAGTTTGGGGACACCTGGTATAAATTATATTGGATTTGCATTAAATAATAACAGTTTTGGACGATAAATTTATGAACTCTTCATCATATCTTCATTTATCTTATTAATTATTCATTCTACGGGCTCACGGTTTCATGTGTTTTCCCTTCACCTCTACGCGTTCTCTTAATGAATTATCAAAAAGTATATCCGACAACAAACAAAGTGTAATCTTATGTTAATAGTGTTTTCTTCAGTGTGTAATACAAACATTTTGAAACTTTTAAAGTCCTTGGCACACAAGATATGTTTAATATAAGACTTACATGGAGTTATAACGTGAGGTTTTTGGTAAAATAAAACTCATTTTCCATTTATATTATCGATTGAGGACATTTGTGTTTACAATCACTTAGGTGATATTGGCATCAGTTTGCCACTGTACTACCTGAAGTCCAATTTTATTATTTCAATGTCTTCTTTATAAATCAATCAGTTGTTATTTAAGCTCCATTACTCGCCATAATTAAGCTAACATTAGCAAAATCAGGGCCCAGATTTTTCATAAGACCAATGCCACGCGTGACTTATGCCACCTTCTAATAAATCACTGAAAACTTAATTTATTCCACGACGCGGCTACAAGATGTTTAAAATGATCCGAATGACTTCAAAAAAGGATAGTAGAGCCGTCCGTTTTTACTTTATTCGACTTGGCATAGACACTTCCGTGCACCCAGATATACTCTATATTGCTCACTGATAATGTAGCTTAAAAATTATTTCACGAATACATATAACTATAAATACCTATTCGTGGAAGTTTTCACAAATTTTTAACTACTGTCCGGTAGTTTTGTTTTTGTTTATCCATTAGAAACAAGAAATAGTTCTTTTTTATTACATTACTTAGTGAAGATAAAAATCTGAAATAAAATTTTCCTTTTATATATTAGTTCACATTGGGTTTATACCTTCGTTAAATGTTCTTGGTAAATCAGTTGAATAGTTTAAATATGTGACATAGAATATATAATGACAGTATATAACTTAATTAATATTATCATTGTAAAGGGCACCAAGACTTTGTTGGTACATTGCCACACCTATCATTGCAGCCAATACTTATTACTGTTAAAGCATAAAAAAATTAAACTGTAAAAAAAAAACTGAAATAAATACCTAAATTCAGAAAATCTTAAATGGTTTATTGACTTGGTCGGAAATTGAATTCAGAATTGACATTTTTGACATGGCGACGGCGAGGTGTCGCTACAAACCTGTGTGTGAGATACTCGTACACTGAATTTATTTTTATAAATACTTTTTCTACTGTTTCTCATTTAACTGTGTATTGACCTTCATAGAGTCGTATGTTGGCGCGTGCCCAAGAAAAATGTTAATTGACGACAAAGCTAACGCAATTCTACTGCTACCATTACATTACGAAATAAAAAATGCATTTTAACATATCTAAATGAAAACAGATCAAATTTAAAAATCATTAGATTTTCAATTTCAATGACTGTATTATAGGATATATAATAAAAATGGTTTTAAAGTACTGCACAAGTCAGATCAACTTGACGATGTGTCAACATATTTTGTAAAAGAATTTATTAACTCGACGCGACACGATAAAAATCTTAAGTTACGACACACGAACAGTTTTACTTCCTACAATCAGATATTGAACTTTAAATTGTTAGATTTAAGATTTGAATTAACACACGCGGGGTGTTGCAAATTTTTAATAACTCTTTGATTGATTTAAAACGGCAGCGCAAATAGTACTAATTGGGTATTCCTACTGCGTTTTTATATGGTTCGTAAATTACTATGATTAACGATACACATATGGAAAGTTATGCCTCAATTAAAATGTCGCATCGTTTATAATGACATTTTAACGTACACTTATAGGTACCTTGAATAAAAAAATAAACCAAGACAGGAGCGTAGTTAGTTTTCTTTAAACTGTTATTTAAGTTGTCATGTTTTAGTTAGTGTTGGTCAAATCTTTGCCCACATCACGGATATCTTGAAAAATTAATATAGAATAGAGCTCATCTGATAATGAAGCCATGGGACCTCTGCAATTAATCAAACAATCTCTTCGAATTTAAGCTCAATTGATTTGTTTTGACATGGACTTTGGTCCGACATAATATCCAGAGTACGTAAGATATAATATATATAAAAACGCTTTTTTTATTATTATTTTGACGTCCTGTCTGAAGTTATTAGTACCTGCAATATGTTATTTAAATATTTAACTAACAGGCTGAAAATCATCTAGCTAGCATATTGTTGAAGGTTGTGTACAACACACATCACACAAAAACATACGTCACTTAAAACAAAATATATTTAATGATATTTATCCCGTTAAAAATAAATTTACAATATCAAGTTACGTCTCGACGATTGAAAATTCTCGAAAAAAAAAATCTTATTTCGATTTCTAGCTCAATTCCACATACTCGATAATGTATTTAAAGCGCTTCCCAATAAATTCGTAGAACAGATAACTCCTAACTTTTCAAACAAATCATAATATTTCAATTTCATAAAAACACTTTTGTTTATGTTTCAAACATTCGTCCATTTTCCATGCCATATGGTGAAAAAAACACGATCACTCACGATATTGACAGATGTTTCCATTATAGGTACCTATACACAAATCACTCGTCGACGAAAGAAAAAGTATTTTTCCAAAACACGTGCCTTCATCATCGAGAAAATATTTAGGAATTCTGAACGTGAAATTTTTACGAATGTACCACAAATAAGAAATCGAATACCCAACACTTGCATTCTGAACGGCTACCTGCCAAGTTAGCATGGTTGATTCGGTTTTATAATAACTATAGGTAGTTAAAGTCAAACGTCTAATTTATCAGGATATTGCTATTTGTATTGCGGTTTTTATGTTATTATCGAAGGTCGAATTTGTTTAAAAATCGACTGCCAATGTCACTTTTGCAGTTAAAATTAGTGTTTTAATATTTGTGTGACATCTGTAAATTAGGTATACTTTATTAATGACTGGAATCGCTTTGGCAAAAACTAAAAATAAATTAAGGTTTTCAATAAAAGGTCAACTTGTAAAACATAAATGAATGTTATATATAATTTGAAAACAAAGTTTTTGTATCACGCACAAATATGAGGAAACATAATATTTACATATTTTTTGAATGGAGATTTTATACCATTGCAAATATTGTCAAGTTATTCAATTTTATGTACATAATCAAATGTATTTCAAACATCATACATTTGATTATGTATGATGTTTGAAATACACGGATAAGTGAAAATCTCAAGATATTGACTAACTAGTTTTTAGCACTACACATTTTTTTCTATATGTTAAGTGATCAAGCAGTGGCTTGCACGATTTCATGGTTCACCTCTAATATCTTCAGCTTTTTGGTGTTTTTTTCATATTTCCCTCCCCCATACTCATACTTGGGATTGGTTGTGAAGACATTTCTGCTTCATTTAGACAAAAAAGATAAAGAAATTGAGAAAAGTAAGATATTAATTTTTTCTGGTATATTTAACCAATGTGCTTATGAAAAAAAAATGTCATAATACGAGGGTCAAACTGAAAGTTCTTAGAACTGGCCACTTATAAACAATATAATAAAAAAATAATTCTAAAATTTGAAAATATAACTCTTTGCCAATATTACTGAGTATATATTTCATTCATTTGTCATTTGTTTTACGATTTGGTTGCAAATTGAAAATTGTCTGTGTCACGTCATCATGAATTTAACACGAGAAAATTTTCGTGCAATGATTTTTTATGACTTTCGATGTCATTTAAGTCAACAAGAAAGTTATGATAGACTACGATTGGCCTTTCACGATGAAGCCCCATCTCGTGC